ATCAACTTCATTTTGTCAGTGTATTTCATAGTTACATGGATAAGGCAAAAAAAAACATAGAAAATAAAATAAAAATCAATGTGATTAGCTGGTCAGTTTAAAGATGATTCTTACATGGTGATGACCATCATCATGATGATGATCATCTTTTTTTATCCTTAACGATCTCAGATGAAGATAATTAGACAAAATAATAGTAAAGAAGAAGAAAATAAAATAGAAATTTGTTTCAACTCGAATCATTGAGAAGTCTTTTCGCCTACATGATGATGATGATGAGAATTGTCATCATCATCATCATGAGCTAACACCTTAATGGGACAATATATTGTAATTGATTGTTGCTCTTGTAACATCATAATTATCCTCAACATGATGATTAACTAATTGTACATTATTATCAGTTTGAGAGTTTAAAGTTATCAAAGACGATGAATAAAATTTATCATTCCATTTGATGTTATCTGTTATGATTCATTAACATGAGTTCATGATAATGTCACATTGTGAATGGAAAGAAAAAAACATTTTCTTAAATCAAATTCATTCATTTGGATTACATTACATCATTACCCTGAATTTCAATGTTACTTTGAAAAGTAGAAGAAGAAGAAAAATGTCCATTGTATCAGAATCCTATCAAGATGAACTTTTCTGCTTCCATTTCCATGATAAATTTAGAATTCAAATGGAAAATAAAGTGTTTTCCATTTATTTATTATTATATTTATCATCTTTTCTCCTTCTCTTCATCTTCCACCTTCTTTTTTTTGTTTTTCTCTTCCACCACCCACTCTTCCTCTTCCAATAGATTCATTTGACGAAAATTTCTCTTCTCATTTTTTTTTCTACGATTTTTCTTATAAATATACATTCTTACAATTCTTCATTGGTATTTCTTTTTTTTTCTTCTTCTTCTTCTCAATTCAATCCATCAGAATGAAGATGGAGATAGAATCATGAAAATCCCTTATTCGGAAAAGGAAAGAGAATGATTTTCATCAACCCTCCCTCCTTATAATCATCATTATCATCATTTGAATCATCATCTTATCCCTGTCAAAATGAATACTCACTCTGTTATGCTCCTTCTTCTGGTATAATCTATTTAACTCTCTTTCACTCTTTGTCTCCTTCTCTCACCTCCTCAAGGTAACTTGTCTCATCTTCTTGTCTTTTTCTGACAATTTACTTTTCTTTCACTGAATGTTGAAGAAATAAATAAGAAAAGAGAAAAGAGAAGAACAAAATTTATTCCAAAGTTTGAGAAAAGAATAAAAAATACACATCAATCTTTTCCACCCCAGGTCTTCATCCAGCCATCCATTACCACTACGTACTCCTCATCTTCCCATTCCAACATTTTCATCATCATTCTCACCTCTAGTATCATCTTTCTTGACCTATTCTCAACTCAAACTAATAACTCTCACCAAGAACCAGTAAAAATGTATCAAAAAAACAAAGAATGAGAGAGAGAGAGAGAGAGAGAGAGAGAGAGAGAGAGAGAAAACTCACCCCAGAGGTTTCAGAGTATCTTTACTCATTCAATCTTCCACCAGTACCTCCTAATGATCACCATCATCATTTATTTTCATCATTCTCCAGTTGATTATAAGGAAAATGATGATATCAAATAATAATAATAATGAAAGATAATTTAACACTGACCTTGATAAAATAACATCTACTCTCACCATTAATATAATTAACATCATCATCATCACCATGAGAGTTACCCTGAACTTTTCCCTCTTCATCCCTTTGCATCACAAAAACCACTAAACAATATCTAATAATGAATAATATGAAATTTCACCATCTCATTCAATAGATGATAAAAGTTTTTCTAGTTTTTTCTCTCCTTTTTTTCATCTTCATCAGCATCCTCTTTCTTTTCCTCTTCATCTTAAATATTTCATTCTTACTTTTATTCATTGAGAATGTGTTCAGAATACAATCATCATAATAATCATCATGATGATTCTGATTCAACATACTAAACCATCATAATAATGTAACCTGAATCTTGGTGACGTTGGTTTTTTGTGTTATTATTATATAATAATATTATTATCAATAATAATAATCAAATGAAACTGTTTATGTAATCAGAAACCAACTCGACAGACTAATAAGTAAATATTAATATTAAGTGTTGAAAAGTCAAAAAAATTAATAATAATCATAACTGAACGATAACTGGGCCAACAATTGAAACTTAATATCATTGTCAATGAATTCATGGTGATGCTTATCATGTTTGAAGGATAGCCGATGGATAGAATAACGATATTTGATTGAAATAGTCGACGAAACTGCTTTTCGATTTTTTCGACGGCATATTTTCTGTGAGAAATTTTATCCACCTTGTTGGATATGATTTTCTTTATTGTTATTGGAATGAAAACTTCCAACTTATCTGTAGCATGTTTGTTAGAACGGTTCAGAATCGAAATGAATACATTGTTGATATTATCATGTTCTCTTGTTCTTTTCTGCCTTGTCACCTATTCAATGGTAGTTTCCGTTATTCTTTCGTTTTTATCCCTTCTTCTTATCATCTTCAACTTCATCATATTCATTATCATGTTCATGTTCAGATTTTCTGAGAGTTTTCTTGTTTCGAAGTTGGAATTTTTTTTCTCGCTTTCTCTTTCTCTTCCAACTAAACTAATATTATAACATCTTGTGTTGTAATAATACTTTTTTACTACGGATTCCGTGTCTTCTTCCGTTTTCCTGTTTCCTTTTCTCTTCTTTTTTTTCTTCATCATCATTATCATCCTTATCTTCATTATATTGATCTCTTTCTCTTTCTCTGTTTTTCCAATCCCCACTTTCTCTGTTTATGTTGTTTTTTTTTTCTATGAATGAATTGAAATGCTAATAGTTTATAAGTAATGTGATTGATAATAGAAGAGAAAACTTTTCATTCAGTTCTCAGCGTGAACTTTTTTCTTTCCTTCTTCTATCTGAAAACCTTTGAGTTCGAGGCTTGGCAAATCGAGACAAGAGAGAAAAGTAGAAATAGCAATTAACCAGTAAACGAATCACAATTAATGATCTAAACCAGAATAAAATCCTTAATCCAGTTCGATGTTAATTCAAGGTAAATTCAATAATAGAAGGGGGAAAAAAGTTCTACTCTTTCAAAATTTAGATTTGTCATTTTGAATTATTCTCTTACTGAATTCATCATGATTAGTTGGAAATAAAATTGTTCTAATAAAATTACAAAATTCTTTTAGATACATTATATATTTACTACTTACTCATGTTATTATTCAGAATTTTGGAACATTCAAACAGAGAGAGAAATTTGAAATTCGAAATTTTTATTATTTTTTCTTTTTTTTCCATCCAAATGTTATAACATATTCTCATGAATTATCATCACCATAATAAGGTGAGAATGAAGATGATAATTTGATATAATTTGTTTTCGACATCGCCTTTTACCTACTACATGGAAGATAATTGCTTATGAATATGAATTGTTAGTAACATAAATAAAGTTCATCATCATTGTCATTTTAATTGTCACCTTGATGATAAACATGATTGTCTAACAGATTTAATAATCTTTACATTTATATTGAATACATCAAAGAGACAGTTAAACTTGTATTGGTAAAAATTTTCTCTCTCATTTCAATCAATTGATCTGATAGTTGATTATCATTAATATTGCTCAGATTTTCACCATGATGATAATCAATTCATAAGGTTAATCTTTTAGTTGCTTTATCAACCTACGAGATTGTCATGATATCTTATTACCTCAGGAAATTCATGTTTCATTTCATCAAAGCTACTCAATGAGTTGAGAAAATGTGATATTTTATCATGACTCATTATAAAGTCATGAAGATATTATCGTATGTTAGTATAACCCTTTTAAATCTATTCGCATCCTCAAGAGATTATTTCATCATCATCATCATCATCATTTCGCTTTCTCTTTCTTTGTCTGTCTCTAAATCATCTTCATCTTTACTAACTTTATCTCTACGCCAGAATTATCAGAATTCACTTCTTACGGAACTGAACCCTTCTACTAATGCTTTTATCTTCAATTTGTTACCAGAAAAATTTTATCTCTCTCTCTCTCTCACTTACTTATCATCATCCTCGTTCTCCATCCCCTCCCATTTTCATCTGATAATGATCATGATGTGGATGATAACAGATCCATTTCAAAGTTAATCCGGATATAATAATAACTATAACATGTACATATCTATTTGGCCTCCCATCCAATGAACACTTTAGTTAGTTAAACAATACAAATTGTTACAATACGATTACACAGAGATATTCCCACTCCCACTCTTCCCCACCCTTCTCATCATCCAATCATCTTCACCATCTACATCATTATCATTCTCGTTGTTTGTGATGATGACGAGAGATACAAGAAAGTAAACAAGAAGAAGAAGAAGAAGAGGAAAAAAAAAATTAACCTACATTTTACCGAATTCCAGATCAATTCGAACCAGTTCTAGAACTTATTATTTATCATTATTATTAGAACTTTTTCTTCTGTCTCTCCTATTGACTCTTATCATTATCATCAACATCATCATTAAATTTTAACTCAATCACATATTAACAGTTATCACTCCCAATGGGTAACATTTTAACTCTTATAATATATCAATATGAACTTATTGTGTACAGAAAGAAAAAGGATCGAACTTTTTTTTATCGAATATGAACAAATAATGTTAAATGACGATGATGATGGTGATGAATTGAGTAAACAATCAGGATCATTAAATTGTTGAACTATCAGGGAGAGAAACACCATCAGAATCTGAATGGAAAGTTTGAAAAATTTGATTCGAAAAGTTTGTTTTCTCAATGTTGTTTACACCTCGAACTTGTTGTCGAAAAAAACTTTGAAAAGTATCGTTTTATACTGTATTTGTGAACTTGTTGATGAGTCTATTTTACTAATTGTGGTTATCTTTCGTTTTGATTGGTTATTTAATTAGGTTCTAGATTGTAAGGAGCCGGTTGCGACCTTAAAAGAGGCCAAAGTTGCTCTTTTTACCCATGAATCGGTTAACCTGTTGGCACGTACTATTCAAGGTACTTATATCAGTGAGGGTGGTGGCTTTGATTATGATCAATCGTGGCTTTGTGCAATGTGCTCAATGCCATCTCTGCATAAGCGTCATGTGGCTATCGCACGATTAAAACATCCTGCCAACATGGGACGAAACTCACATGAGGTTCGTTTCTTTATTTTGGTTCTAACACCATCCAAAGAAAAGGGTACCAAAAATGCACTGGAAACGGGTCGTACCTTTGCAACCATTTTCGCTGATATGGATTTTCGTCAACGTCTTCTAGAGGTACAATCAGAAGGTGAATTTAAAAGTTTACTTCTTAAACACGCCCAAGACCTCGCCTCGGAGCAAAGTAATCCCGTTAGGTCATTGGGTAATCATCAAAATGATCTTGACTTTGATGAGCCCAAATGTCGCATTGCTCAAGGACTTTGTGAAGATTTAAGGAGACGACTTTCCCATTATATTAGTGATTATATTGATGGTAAGTTTTCATTCTCGTCCATTATTTCACAAAAATCGAACAGTTTAATAATGACCTTTGCTTTTTTCTCTCTTTCTCTCTCTTTCTCTCTCTCAATTTTGTCGTTTCTCTCTTAGGTGTTGTTGGACATCAGACAATCCATAAAACAATATCAACAATTTTTTTCCTCTATTTTGCCTGCCTTTTGCCTACAATTGCGTTCGGTGTTCTGAACGACAATAATACAAATGGAAAAATTGGTAAGTTCTAATGATAACTGGTTCGAAAAAAACTACAAGAAAGATAAAAATCAATAGAAAATTAAAAATTTTAATCCAATCAATTGATTCTCTCAGGTGATATCCGTAAAGCTATAATTGGTCAAACAGTGGGAGGATTGTCCTTTGGTTTCTTTGGAGGTCAACCTTTGGTTATTATTATGACCACCGCCCCTCTATGCTTGTACATTAAAGTGATATACGGTATATGTGAAGGTTTTGGCCTCAATTTTCATGCAATGTATGCCTGTGTCGGTCTTTGGAATACCTTTTTCCTCGTCTTCTATGCGGTATTTGATGTAAGCAGGTTAATGAAATGGTGTACAAGGTCAACTGAAGAGATATTCGCTCTCTTTATCAGCATTGCCTTCGTAGTCGATGCATTCCGTGATGTTTATAAAAGTAAGTGGACGAAAAATGACCTTTAACTGACCTTTATGCTTGTGACACTTTGAAAGGAGCGAAGACTGGGACAAAGAAACAAAATTGTCTCTTATTATTAATTGAAATGTATTTTATTTCTAATTGTGTTTCTTTTAATGGTGACAGTTACATTATTCCTCTTAATTGTTGTTGTTCCTCTTGTTGATTTGATTGTCTACTTTTGATCAGGTTAATTTGTTTATAACTATTACAGTTTAGAGTCTCTTATGTTTCAATCGTGATTTGGTTCTAATTTTTTTTCTTCTTTTCCTTCAACAATTTACTTTTCTACTACAAATTTCATGAGGTTTTCCATGTATTCATGTATTATTATCTTCCTTCTGATGATGATGAGTTGCTTTATGTTGAGAACTTTTTTTCTGCTCTGTTAAAATTCTAGTCAACGATCTGTATCTCGTCGACTTTAGCATTAGAACTTTTTTTCTTCTTTCTTTCTTCCCCTTCTTCTCTCTCAAAGCTTTATTATTTATATATATGAGATAGAAAAAGTTTGATGATTACGAATCAGAATTTCAAACTGAAACCTTGATAATCGTTTCTCGTCGATTCATTTCACGAACTCACTTTGCTCATATCATCTCGATTTCTACCTTTCAACCAATTCTAAAGTTTACCTTGGCACAATTATCATAATCTTTAAATCTGAACGTTCATTTTAATAGTAGAATCGATCAAATTATTCCAATAATATTTATCTCTTTTTCTTTCTTCTCATCGAAATTTGTATTTAAAGAGAAGAGACAAATTCTCAATCAGATTGCAAACAGTTAATGGGATGAATCTTATTCTTCCAAATAGATAATAAACAAGATAGAAGTTCATTTTTGTTTCTCTCTCTCACTCTCAATTCCAATCTAATTCTTAACATTTTCTTCATCTAAATCCAACTTTCTTCTGTTATCATACATAGTAAATTCCCAACCAGTAAGACACCTTCAAATACCCTGAGGGTGACATTGAAATAGTGATTCCAAACGAATGAGTAAATTGTTATCATCCAATTTGATTGGAAACTATTGTACAAGTCTCCTAATCATCATTAGATAACATCATCATCATCATCATCACAAGTATATATGAGAGATATTTAAACTCCCTGAGTGATGGAGAGATGATAAAGTTATGGTTAGTAAACGAGAAATGAGAAATATCAAGAATTCTGATAACAATTCGAATGTCAAATGATAAAATAGATCAAAAATCATCCAACCGATGATAAGTATATAACAAGTTCCAGTTGAAACTTTTATTCTTCTACATTTTTCTCAATCATCACAACTTTTCAACTTGTTCAGTTTTCATATCATATTCACCATAATCATCAGCACTCAATACACACACACACACACAAACACATACATAAGCAAATAAATAAACAAACAAACAACAACAACGACTCATAAGTTGTAAGCAAATTTAACTGTAAAAAGTTAATGTTGATTTTATTCCGTTTTGATGATTTTACACCATGAATGTCATGGTGAAAAGATGCTATTCAAATGATATTATTCTCCTGCTCTTATCATCATCATCATCTTTACGATCATCATTATCATCTGTCTGAGATTGAAGAAAAATCTGAATCGTTTCAAGTGAATTTAGGATGTGAAAGATGAAAAATTTCAGTCAAAGTGGTGGAAAAGTTTTCATCATGATAATGATAACATAATTTAACATGGAAAAGGATGAAGATGATGATGGATGAAAGAGTAACAAATAGTTTCTTATGAAATTGGGCAATGATGATGATGATGATGACGATAGAAACAAAAGATTCCTATTGTGAGTTTAACTATTATCATCATCATCATCATCAACAATTGATGTAATAGTTGGATGGTGATTATTATTATTAGGAAAATGAAAATATTTGATTGAATGAGAATGACAATATAATCACTGGATTGTTATTATTGTTGAACAATCATGAAGATGGTTAATAGATTCATTATAATCATCTCATTGACATTATCATTATCATGATTTAAACAACGATACACTTTTTTTTGGTTAACCATAGAATCAAATTTAATTAAAGGCAACAACAATCTAATAATTGTCACCCATTAATGAGACACATTATGTAATATAAATCCCATTAAGGTTTCTCAATGAATCTTTCATCGTCTAATTTTGTCCCCTGTTACTTTTCAGTTTCCTACTGCAATTAACTAATTGATTTTTCTCTCTCTCTCTCTTTAATTGTTCCAATTAATTTGGCTCATCAGATTTCAAGAAAAATTACTATTCGCCAAAATGTTTGGAACCTAAGCAAGATTTTATATCGCTGTTGACAAACAATTTTACAATGAACGAAACCAGTGCTACTATCGATATCGATGGTGATGGTGAATGTCGTCGAGATGCTACTTTACTTTTCTTACTTTTAATGTTGGGCACCGTTTGGGTAGCAGTTTCATTATATAACTTTAATAAAACGTAAGTAACGAAATTTCAACTTCGAAAATTGGTCCAAACAAAAAGTTCGAAACAAAAACTTTCGGCAAAAGGAAACAAAACTAGAACTGAGTTCGATAACGATAACGATAACGATGACGATTTCGTTGACGATTTCGTTACCAAAGGCTCTATTTACTTTGTCCAATAGTTTAGTAATTAACAGTTATTAGAATTGATGATTAAAAGAGTAATCATGATAATCATAGGCTTTGGTTAATCATTTAAATACAGAATTAATTAATTGTTATAAATGTTTATTTTATCTATTATTATGTTTGATTATTTATTGTGATTATATCTTCATGTTTATGGTTACTATAATTATATAATTTTGCTTTCTAATCATATTAATAATAATTTGATGGTTGGTTTAATTTTGTTCATTAAATATTTATTATTGTAACAATTAATTAATGGTTACATGTTTTGTCATTCTGTTAGGATCACTCACTATGGTTAAGATTAATTGTTACAATCAGTTGATGATTATAATGATATACTTACAGTTTTATATTCAAAGATAATTGTTAACATCAATTAGTATTTTCTTACATTCATTTTATTATATCGTAAGAAAAAAAAACAACAACAACAAAAGATTCAATGGAAAATATCACAATCAACTAATTAATTGGATGGACAAAGTCAATTTTAGATTCAATTGATTAGCAAATGATTAGTTGATTCACTTGAATTGGAATGAATTTTTTTTTCTATTCAAATTTGATCTACTCTTCAAAAGGAGAAACAGTTAAATCGGAATAGGAAAAGAATAGGGGAGACTTTTGAATTTCCTATTCTCTTGTTAATTGTTGTCAGTTAATTGTTTGTTTTCTTTGGAGGTTTCTTCGTGCCGTTTTTTTTCCTAATTACGATTGATTTAATTGATTGTTTATCTATTGTTTTTCACCTTTAGGCCATATTTACAAGCGAGCAAACGAGAACTGTTAGCTGATTATGCCCTTCCTTGTGCTGTTATTTTTCTCAGCTTTGTTGGCTCTTATGTATTTAAAGACATTCCAGGTAAGTTAATTGTAATCACTTTTAATTGTTAACATTGTGGTCATTTTGTGTTTATTTAATTATCTTCTAAATCACCATTTCTACTATTCTTTCCTGGTTAATCTAATTGCTTGAGCAATGAGAAATTCTATTCATTTGTGTTCTAACTTTCTCTCAGTTTGGATTCTTGTCTATCTGATTCTCTTATTGTCATGTTTGGCTTTTTGTGGTTTTTTCTCTTTTCTTTCTTTCTCTATGTGTATGTGTTGTTTTTTTTCCACTAATCAGTCAACATTGTTGAGAATTCTCTTAATTCTTGTCGAATTTTTTTCTTCTTCTCTTTTTACTTATATAGAATCTTGAAGTTTCTTTTTTTTTCTCTCTCTCTCTCTCTTTCTGTTATTTTTATCAACAGAAAGTATTTTGATCACTTGCATTGGTATCGAGATAATGTAATATTTGAAAATTCTGACAGTTACCAGTTAATCCAATGAATTGTGTTCTACTATTTTAAAGACTAGACATTTTAGACTACGCTTGATATTATATATTTTTCCAGAGTATAACCTTGTTTAACTTGTGATGTTATTATTATTACTGTTGTTACAGTGTTATTGTTATTGGTCAAGATTCAATTCAGTGTTTTCTTTTTTCTCTTATCATCATGATAGTGTTATCATCCAAAAAATTTCTGTTCTAAAAGAGAGAAAGAGAGCATTTTGATAGGAAAAAAATGAAGAAAAAAGTGAAAAAAAAACATAAGATGAAAACTAAAAGGGAAAGAATCAGAGATGAAATTCTGATTCTGAGCTCTCCTTTTCCTCATCTCTATCTCTCTCTCTCTCTCTCTCTCTCTCTCTCTTGAAAAAATCAACACCACATGATGAATGAACAGGAAATTTCAACGATAGTGATGATTACAAGTTTAGATTATTTTTCATTGCCGGATTATTTCAAAACCAGAAGAAGAAAAAATCCATCTCCTCTTCATCCTCATCATCACAACTTCATTTCATTTCAAGTACAATATCAACAGCTAACAAAATATATATTATTACGATGAAATGGATTCTTTAGGTAAGAGTGAGAGAGAGAGAAAACAGAGAGAACGAGAGAGAAGATGAAGATGAGAAAATATAATAAATTCAATTTAGTAATAATATCAAGAAGTAGAAAATGAATTTGTTAGGAAAGATGAAGAAAATAAAATAGAGAAAAAAAAGAAAACAAAATTTAATGTTTTCTTTGGTACATTCAAGATTCATTTCAAAAATAATTGATGATGATTTGAGAATCAGAATCACAATCAGAATAAGAATCACAAATTCTAATGAAACAAATATAATTTTCATTATCTTATTTTCTAACAAACTAATATACTGATCAATTTTCTCTCTCTCTCTCTCTCTCTCTAATAATTATGTTGATAGAATATCTTTATTCTCAGTCATCATAATATCATTCTCTCTCTCTCTCTCTCTGAAAGGATTGATTATCGCTGGGCAGGGAATTAAAATATTATTATCATATATATAAAAGTATTCTGTTATTCTGATAGCTAAAAATTAAAAGAAAGAAAAATTAACAATCATTAATAATGAATAATAACCATGGTGATAATAAGAAGATGAAGACACAATGTTAATGGTTGAATCGAAAAGGATTTTTTTTCTTATTGTTGTTGTTTCGCTCATTCAGAATGGATTATGTTTCTAATAAATTATTATTATTTTTTTACATTCTCTTCATGGACTCCATTGGAATTGATTTTCTCATTTTCATCATGAAAATCGGATCAATTAATTTGAACTCTCCCTCCCTCTCTCTCTCTAACAGTTGAAACATTTAGATACAGCAATACTTTTGAAATTGGAAGAGCTCACATTGAGGAGCTTCCATTATCTGCTGCCTTCGCTGCCATGGGACTTGGATTTTCACTTTCACTCTTATTTTTTATGGACCAAAACATTGCAGCGGCCATGGTGAACAACCCATGCAATAAGTAAGCTAATTAACTGTTAATTACTATTGGAAACAATTTCGATAAACAATCATTTCATTTGTAAGTGAGAGAGGAAACAAATAAGTAACATTGTTATCGTATCAATTGAAGAGATTCAATAGATTACCCAATTGGATATCAACTTTTTGCTCGATCGTTTCTATTGTGATGATCGATTATCGTTTAATTTTTGTCGATTTTTTTATTCTCTTGGGTGTGTCATCGATGTATTGATGATTCTACGTTTTCTTTTCTTCCTCATCTTTTCAATTCACAACTTTTGGAAACTTTGTTTCTGACGATTTGCTGCTCATCTTTTCTCGAGCCTCAAATTTTGTCTCGAACAATTTAATAATTAGTTGGATCATTAATCATCTATCGTTAGTGTAAATGAATATTTAATCTACATTTTATGAATAGATTAATCTTTGATTCTCTCTCTCTCAATTATACATGTATTCATCCTTTGTTATTGTCTATTGATTATAAAATTAGATATTTATCTTATCATACTGTCTAAATTGTCACCAACATTTTTACCCAGTAAAAAAACCAATGTTAACATGAGATGATAATCATCTCAATGTAAATACATTGAAAGTTTCATCAATTGATCAAAAATCTTACTATTCTTTAACTATTAATATATATGTAAATCCTTAATCTTCTTATAATCTTTTCAACTGTGAAAAAAAGCTTCTTAATCCCAACAAGTAATAACTATTTCCAGCCGATATTTATTATCCATAGATGTCAATTACAGTTATATAAACGGGAGAAAGAGAGAGAGAAAGAGATGGAAAGTCATCTAATAATTACCAACGAGATGAATTAATTGTTATATTTTGTTCATCATCTTTTTTCCTGGATTATCTTGATCCACAAAGTTCTGATTTACTCTAATGCTTATTCAGCATGAAATTTGTTTCATGGGAATGAAGAGAGAGAGAGAGAGAGAGAGAGAGAAAGTCTGTTAAATTATCATTAACTCTCTATCTCTCCTTTTTTTGATAATCATCTTCACAGCCTTGAAGGCAAACGAAGAAAAATTGATTTCTCCAATTATTTGTAACTGTAAATACTTTATCTTTCCAATTGTTTTGTGTCATTGGCAAGTAAAGGTTATCTCCCCAGAAAGATAATCTGGTTTGGGTGTCAAAGTTTCAATTGATTAAGAGACCAGATTAGTTGATGATATCTACTCTCTCTCTCTCTCTCTCTCTCTCTCTCTTCTCTCTGGTTTTTTACATTATTATTAGCACCAGAACTGAAAATAGCTTGGGTTGACTAGTTTTGACAGGAATAATACTTTGGAATAGAAAGAAAAAGAAGATCATTAGAACAATTGAAAATCATGATTTACTCAGTTCCTCATGAAGATGATGATGTTGATGATGGTCATCTTGCCTTACCCATGATCATTATCAACACTGATATTATTGCAAAAATTTCCTATCACAATGTTGATTCTATGTGAGTCTTATATCGCATCTCTCTCTCTCTCTCTCTCAATGAGCTTAGCTCAGCGAATTGTATTCAGTCCCTTCCACCCCACTCTAACCTCATCCATGGATTGTTGTTGTTGATAGTTAAGCTACAGATAAAGAAGATGAATAAAATCAATAAATTTCATCTTCTTTTACATCTTCATCTCCATTTCCTTCTTTGGCTTGTTCTCTCTCTTTTCTCTTTCTCTTTCTCTCATTCTCTTTTCCCTCATCATCACCAATCAACTTTAATTATAAATCAAACTCTAATTTCATTTCCAAACAAAACTTTCAGGTTCCTCATCCCTTTCCCATGGTACCATTGTAATGCTATTGAAAACTCACTTTGAATCACAATCAATTGTATTATCATTGATAATCTAATATGACAATGATAATTGATTTTCCAATGAAAGCAAGAGAGCAAAAAAACAAGTTGACTTTAATCATTTTCCATTTCATTTAACATCAACAACCAATTTTTTTGTTCCTCAATGGATCAAAATATGAATCAATTAATTCAAATTCCATGTTTTAACAGGTTAACCATAAATGATGATGATAAATAAATGAACTTCTCCTCAAGAGAAATAATTAATTCAAATTGTTAATTGGTTCGTTTAACAATTCAATTCAATTTGAATGAATATTAGAAAACAATTATTCTCGTCTCTCTCTCTCTCTCTCCCTTCATCTCTCAAAATTGATTGTCTATTAACCTTGATTCTTATTTAAATTGTTTCTCTTTTTACGCATATACGTTAATTGTTGACAATTGATTACAAAAAAATGCTAATTGTTCCCTTGATTTAATTGTTTTACAGATTGAAAAAAGGTTGCGCCTATCATCTTGATTTATTTGTTGTTGGAATCCTCAATGGTTTCCTATCCCTTTATGGATTCCCATGGATGCATGGTGTTCTGCCTCATTCACCTCTTCATGTAAGGTCACTTGCCGATGTTGAGGAGCGAGTTGATGGAGGACATGTTTATGAAATGTAAGTATCAACATGGCGGGAAAAAAAAGATTTTCATTCTCATGAACAAAACACCGAAATAATATTTACTTTTCTAATTCTATCAACGAATTGATTATATATATAACATTTTCTCCTCGAAATGGTTTATTTTATTTTTTCTATTAATAGAATTGTTAAAGTTCGAGAAACTCGGATAACGAGCATAGTTTCACACATCTTAATTGGTCTTTCGGTATTCTTATTACCTTATCCATTGGCCTACATCCCGACCGCTGTTCTTGATGGTTTGTTTCTTTATATGGCGATTACTGCACTTTCTGGAAGCCAAATGTTTGAAAGGATAACACTTTTATTCATGGAACAGGTAATCTCAATCAAACTGAATTTCCAACTTGAATCAATAATTATTCTCATTTTGTTATTGTTATTATTATTATTTTCGCTTTAATTTGTTGACTAGGCTGCTTATCCACCCAATCATTACATAAGACGATGTCCCCAACGAAAGATTCATTTGTTTACATTTTGTCAACTTGTTCAACTTGGATTGATGTGTTTCTTTGGTTTTTCACCTTGGCCCTACATTAAAATGGTCTTCCCGATAGTGATACTTTTATTATTGCCCGTCAGGTATTTTCTCACAATCCAAATGATAATTTCATATTGTTTTATCTGTCAATCAATTGGTCTAATTGTAATAACACTTTCTCTTTTACCTTTAGGCATAAAATAATAACTTACGTAATAGATGCAAAGTACCTGGAAGCGCTAGATGGTGAGCACCAATAATGAGGATTTGATGATGATGAAACAATCGGACAATGACCAATCTGCTCAATCTAAACGAAACAAAAATCAATTGGGAAAATATTATTACTAATTACAACTACTATTGAATTGGAAAAGTAATCAAAATATTTACAGCAACAAAGAAACAAACAAAAAATAAGAATCAAAAATGAAAAAGAAAAGTTTCTCTCTCTCTCTCTCTCTCTCTCTCTCTCTCTCTCTCTCTCTCTCTCTCTCTCTCTCTCTCTCTGATTAACTTTAATCATAATCACCATCAATCTCCTGATCATCATCATAATCCATGGGATAACATCACCACCTCTTTATCTTCCTTATGAACTTTTAATTTTAATTATGAATGTAAAATAATACGAAAAAAAATCAAGATAATTAGTTAATTCATCATTAATTCGTAGACACACACAACACGATTCACATACAGAAATCAATGAATTACCAACTAATCAACGATTAATTGTTGTTGATTGTTAAGCTCATTTGTTTGTATTGTGAGATACATTTTCTGTTTACATCAGCTAATTTAAAATAAAAATTGTTAACAATCCAAGAAAATCAATTGGGTTTTGTTTTGTTTTTCAATCAATTAAAAAGGTTGGAAATTTTAAATTTTAAATTATCAACAATTAACAGTAAATTCAATTGGTTAATGTATTGTAATATGATGAAAGACTATTTAGATTGGGGAACAATTTAACAGTTTGATTTGGATTGGATTGGGTTACAATTAAAGGAGATGAATATTGATTCCGATTATTTTTCAATCTCTACCAGTTTTAATTGTTACTATTTGTTGATTGTTGATCTTCACTCGTTTACTTTTGATTAGATAGGGAAAATTTTTCATCCGATTACGATGAGTAAACATGATTAAAGACTATTAATAGTTTTAATTAATTATAATCCCTGTTTTCATCGTGATGATTAAACAAATAAACAATTAATGAGGTAAAGGATAAGTTGATAAACTAAATTTAACTTTTAATTTCATTTTAACAAAGTTAGAAAAAAAAATTCTAAATTGTAAATTAAACCTTTCAAGTGATCAACTTTTCAATGGTTTAAATAATCATCAACAATTTAAGTTGATTGTTAGTATTAAAGTAAATTGGTAAATTACAATTATCACTCAATCAATCAGTTTGTTTATTTTTTTCCGAGGCAAAAAAAAACACTGCTAATTGTTAACAATTTAAGTTAATCATGATGACGAGAAAAAAAGCTTATCCTTAAATCCGTTAATTAATTAATGAAATAATGATTTTTGTTGATTTAGTTAATTGTCTGAATATTTAAGTGACACAATTAAACTTAATTCCCTTTCTTTTTTTTCGTTTCAAACTCCAATTAAAATCATAATTGAGTTAAAATAATTGACTAGCAATCATTAAAGTCTAATTTCAATTTTATGGTTGATTTAAAACGTTTAGAATTAAATTGTAACAATTAATAATTAATTTAAAGATTAAAATTTAAACGCAAGTTTATTTTTCGCGCTTCAATTTTTTCTAAGCTCCGCCTCTTTGTTTTGGTCTACAGCTGATTTTGAGTTAATCTTTTTCCCGATGCTTTTTAATTGTAATTATCTAATTGTTTTTAATAATCGGTCAACTTAATTATGTCAGTTGATTATATCTTTGAATTGTCAACTGATCATGTACAATTTGAACCGGTATCTGCAAATAATATAGTCTTTTTTGACGATAACAATCAGCAGGTAAGATGAACTGATTTGAGTTTTTTTTTTCTCATCAATTTTGATTTTTTTTTCTTGTTTTCAAATTATCATTCTAAATGGAATGATTATTTTATTATTTAATTAATCACTTTGCTCACTGTTATTTATTTAAATTGATAGGTGTTTATGTTGAAGAATGATGGATCTCAAGGAATTGAGGTTAAAAGCCCGACATCACATTTCAAGCTCAATCTTGTGTAAGCATTTTTTTCTGTTTTTGGTTTTCAATTTTGATTTGTTTGTTTAATTTTTGTTCCTCTGCTATTATTTAATCCAACTAATTAAACTTGTCTTCTTTTCATTTTATCTTCAACTAATTAGGCTGGAAGATAGAAGTAGCATCAAATCAATCAAACTATCACCAAACTCTGATGTATTGGCTTTACAACGATCTGGTAATTCTGTTGAATTTGTTGTCTTCTCATCTGAGAATCCAGTATCTATATTCACACAAACATGCAAGGTATTTAATCATCGTTAATTCTTACTTAATTTTCCACTAACCAATTTATATGTTTATCTGTTTATAGAGTAAAATGACAACAATAATTGGTTATGTTTGGACAAGTGCGAACGAAATTGTTTTCGTAACTGATTCTGGTGTTGAATATTATGAAATAAACCGAGCAAGAAGTTGCTGTAGACATTTGAAAAGCTTTAATATAACAGTTAATTGGTTCATATATCAGGTAAAAATCAGAAGATTTACTTTCAATCAGAATCAGCTGGACAATTAATATATTTTCCTTATAAAAATAATCTATTTAGCCCATCACATCATTCATGATTCTTTCTTCAAGTCAAAGTGGAAATATCCTTCAGCCGTTTCATTTCAAGGTAATTATTTTATCAATCAACAAATAACTATCAACAATTGATCACTAATTAACGTCTCACTGTTACTTATTGCTTACAGGCCTCATCAATGATTAAATTGACCAAATTTGAAGTTGAATGGTCGGCTAAATTAAAAAATCAACGACCCAGCCTTTATGAGCGTGACGTAGCCTTGGTTGATCTGTAAGTTAATCAAAAAAAAAACAAACTACAATTAACTTAATAGTTGACAGAAGATTGATCTTTATGTTTATTTTTTCAATTTTTACAGTTACAATCAAACATTTTTATTAGTTTTACAACATGAAGCCGTTACCAAAGATGAGAAAGGATCACAAATAGTTATATATACTTTACAAAAGTAAGTAAATCAATTGTCATTATTAATTTGATTCTAAATTGTTTATTAAAATTCCAATTTGTTTACTTAGAGATGGACCTGCTCGTAAAACTCATATTCTACAATTACGATTAACTGGTCGATTCGCAATCAATATTGTCGACAATTTAGTTGTGGTTCATCATAAAACCTCCCAAACATCATTAATGTTTGATATTAAATCTCCTTCCGGCCAAGTACAATCGGGAATAACTTACCTTTCACCGATCCTTCAACCAAGTCCAATTAGACCATTTAAAATTGATGAATCAACATATTGTGAGCTATGTAAGAATCTAAATCAAGTTTTGTTCATCTAAATGATTAACGTTAATTTAAATCAATTTCCACTTTTCTCTATCAATAGATTCAACGAATTGGGCATTATTTCAACCTGATATTATTATCGACGCTAAATTGGGATTTTTCTGGCAATTACGAATTAATCTGCTACCAATTTGTACAATGATGTCCAACGATGGTCAATTACTTGATTTCCTACTCTTAAGGTCACAAGCTAAACCCGTAATACTCAACCTATGTAAAGAAGAGGTCACTCGTCAACCGAAAAGTTTCACCAACATTAACCATTTGGGTAAAATTGGTTTCATATTTAATAAGCTCAACAGTATTTATCGTGATAATAGAGAGTCAAATCGTCACAATTTACCATCAACCAAACAAGGTTACATTTCGAGTGCAAGTTGTACCAATGATTCAACGACAACTCATATTGACCAAACGGACATGTTTTCATTTGTCTTCTCGGTGTTTGAAGTTGAATCAGAGCTTCGAGATGAAAACTTTGTCATCTCCGTTTTATTTGAATATATTCACTCTCTTGGTAGATATAAAATTCCCGTTCAATATTTAATCTACGAACTTTTGATCAATGTTCTAGTTCGAGGGAAAAAGTTCTATCAACTTCACCAATTCCTCCAATATCAAGTTCTAACTCCTTCTAAACCTTTAGCTTGTCTTCTTCTATCCCTACAACCTCATTATCCTCATGCCACTCAATTGGCTCTCGATATGTTTCACCTTCTTCAAGTTTCATCTGAACATATTATTGACATTCTACTCTCTCGATTTGACATTTTTCGAGCGATAAGATTTATCCAAAATAATGGTAACCAGGAGTTAATTTCAGCGAAAAAATTTCTCGAAGTTGCTTTAGCCTCAGGCGATGGTCAACTTTTCTTCAACGTTTTCCGTTTCTTTGAACAACGAAATTTTCGCCTTCGAGGATCACCAACATTCATTGAAAGTAAGTTTTAATTTACGATCAAAATTAAAGATCATATCATGATCTCTTTCAAAGTGAATCATTTAACATGATTAACTCTTAATTCTGTTAATTATTATTACTTGTTTATATTTCTCTAGGTGATTTATGTGAACCATTTGTTGGTAAATTTGAAGAAATGTTTGGCAAATCATCAAGCTTTTGAATTCTAATCATCAACAATCAAAACTTAGACACGATTTCTTCAAGATAATTAACGGTTAATTTTGATTACTTTTGGATAGATGATCAACTTTCATTTTGGAAGAAAATTTATAAACTCAATTATTATCAATACAATTTAGTATTTTGTTTTAATTACTCTCTGATTGGTGATACTTTAAATCAAATCTCACAAATTTACTATTAACTGATTCATCTATTATTATTGTAATTATCTAGTTTAATTACAATCAACATGAGTTGATGAGAAAAATGATCATTGTATCAATGAATCAACAAACTATTTGTTCAACAAAACCAATTAACTGATCAATTTTGTTGAAAACCAATTAATTTAATTTTAAATTATTACTCAACAACTATTATACAATATAGTTGTAACAATCAATCAATTAACTAACGATAATATATGTATCTTGTTTTTTCATTATATTATCAAGTATTAATTGCTAAATCTAATGGAATTGTCAATTTTTTCATCAACAATTAAATAACAATTTATTTTTCTCCAAATTAAAATTGCTGATACTTTTCAACTTGATTGTTGTATTTAAATTGAAAAAGAAAACCAAATTAAAATGTTTCATAATTAAAAGAATTACAATTTTCTTTCCTTCTTCTATGATCGTTTTTCCCCTGAAAATGATGAACAATCAATTTTTTCCTGATTGTAATCAATTCTAATGATGATTATCTATTCGTGATTAGATTTAATTGTGAACTTACTGATCTTTGACTCTCCCCTTGAGTTCATTCATACACATATTAGAAGATACAAACAATTAGACGATAATTTGATATCTCTGATCAACATTTGTCAAATTCAGTTGAATGATAAAAAAAAATCAATTAACCTTGAAAACGAAACAATTAAGAGACAATTTAAATTCTAAAAGTGTCGACATCTATCGGTAGAAGTTGAACTTTTCTCTTATGTGATTTCGTTTCAATTTCAATTGTCATCAAGTGTCTGTCTCTTTGATTGGATTAAATTGTTAACTGTTTGCCGTTAATTGTTACTTAATTTATATCATATTCTTGTTTCCCCTTAATTGTTCAACTATTCACAGTGATTAAGGTTGATTGATTATTAGTTTTTCCATTTCTATGTGAACATCTTTGTAGTTTATTGTGACAAACTCATAATCAAGATCATCTTCTTAACCTAATCTGATATTCACAATTATTATCATGGATTCTGTTTTTGGTTTTGTCCGTTATGTTTTGGACTCAATTTCCACTGGTGTTACTAAATTGGTTCCGTCGAAATGTGGCCTGATCCATCTTCCACCCATCACCAGTCCGATTGTCATATTTTCGGCAACCCAATTGGCGGAGAAAATTAAATCTGGAGAGGTAAATAATTGGCAAGAGAATTGCCCATGTTCTATTCTTTTTCTTATCTTTTTTCTCTCTTTCTCTAAATTCTATACATTGTTAATTTTTTATTCTATTCTCCAATCTCAATGTACATGTGATCTTTGAGTGTCGATTCTTAATCTAATCATGAAAATTTGTTTGATTCTTTTTTCCCCCTTCTTTTTCTTGGATGTGTCTTGCTCGGTTCTTTAATCCGAAATACCAATTGTATTGTTGTGTTTTCCTTTGTTAAGCTCAAATGTGTCGATGCTGTGAAAGCTTTTAAACAACGAATTGAAGAATGTGAACCATTCATTAATTCTGTAGTGGAAGATAGATTCAAAGAAGCGATAGAAGAGGCTGAAATTCTCGATGAGAAGATCATGCAAGAATTAGCCTCCGGCGAGAAGAATTTGACCAATTTACCATTACTTGGTGTTCCTTTTGCTGCCAAAGATTGTCTCCAAGTTAAAGGTATGCAGTTGACCGCTGGTTTTGTCCCTCGAAAGGGTTGTGTCCAAGAAGAAGATGCAGCTCTCATAGCTAATTTAAGAAAATTGGGCTCGATTCCAATTGTGATGACCAATGTTCCCGAATTGGCTGTTTGGTTTGATTCGGCTAATATGCTCTATGGACGAACCAATAACCCTTATGATTTCACTCGTATTCCTGGCGGTAGTTCGGGTGGAGTTGCTGCTTGTGTCTCTTACGGTGGTTCACCTTTCGGAACTGGTTCAGATATTGCTGGTTCCATACGTTTCCCTTCACACTTTTGTGGTCTCTTTGGTCATCTTATCACCCAGAAAGCTGTTAACCTTGACGGACACTGGCCACCCTTTTCCTCTGAACAATCTGAATGCCTCTCGATTGGACCCATTTCCCGATATGCAAGTGACCTGAATATTCTGGTAAAAGCTTTTCTTGGTGATCAAGTCTCGAAACTTCCTAAATTAGATGAACCAGTTGATCTGCAAAAACTTAAAATCTATTACATGGAGGATAATGGCGGTAAAAATAGTACACCAGTTCACCCTGAGATTAAGGAAGGAATGAAAAAGGTATAAATTCAGTTTCATCTACCATGACAATCATGATGATGATTCTTTTCCTTTATTTTTTTCTTCATGAATTCGTAGTTTGTCAAGTTTACTGATTTTCCTTGAAAAAAATTCAGGTTTTATTTTTCTCTGATTGAAAATTCATCCTTTTCTTTATTACTCTTTAATGATTATCTAATATAAACTCAATTGAATCCTGGTTTAGTTACTATACAATGTAACTGATTGTTAATCATTTTAAATCTTTTAATTACTCAACACGTAATTTAGATCACATTTACAAGGATTTTCTTGAATCTAAATGAAGGAAAATTTTCTTAATTGATTCAAATTGCAAGATTTTCACTCTTATTTTTTTGAATTAAATTTAACCCGATTATTGATAAAACGACTTACTAATTAAATTTTAATTAGATTTGCTTTATTCTGTCAGATTAGCTTGAAGCTTTTTCGTCCAAATTTTCAAATATACAATAAATTAAATGATTAAAAATTCTGACCAAGGATTTTCATGTAATAAGAAATGAATGAGTTAGTTTCAGCAATTAAGGTCCCAAGAAAACAGAAATTAAACTAATTCAGTTTTGAGTAGCAAACAATTTAAATTTAATTCAAACATTTGACTTGATAAATTTCCTTAAATTACAAAAAAAGTCAACTAAATGATAATCCATCCAACCTTAATCACAGTAAATCAATATATTCATGGTCAATCAAATCTAATTTAGACGATTAACAATGAACGATTAATAAATCATGTTGATTAAATTTCTTTTTTATTTCCTTCTTTATAACCTCATTTGTGATCTAATATTGATTGAATTTAATACTAATTGATTTTTTTTTCTTATTCTCTTTTTCTTCACGATTAACAGTTGATCAACTGTTTATCTCAAGATTATCAGATAAACGTTACGGAGATTAAACTTCCCCACATGGATCAGGCCTTTGACATTTTCTTAAACACCATGAAAAGTAAACCTCATATCCTGCATTCTCAGAAAATCGCCAATTTCAATGGACATAAAAATCCTTGGCTCGAATTGGCTAAGAAACTTGTTGGAGCTTCTGATCACACTTTACCTGTAATAATCGTCTCCATATTGGAAACATGTCTCGGTGATCCAAGTTCAGCTGAAGGTCGTGAACTAATTCACAAGGGTGAAATTATTCAGGAGAAACTGTTTTCCATGCTTGCTGATGATGGAATCTTCATTTACCCTGCATTCCCTGAACCAGCAATCAACCATTATACATCAGTATTAAAGTTTAAAAATATCGCTTATTCATCTTTATTCAGTCTTATGGGTAATCCAATTACTACCTGTCCAATTGGATTAACTAAAGATGAACATTTACCTTTTGGAGTACAAGTAATGGCCTCACCTTTTAACGATCACTTAACAATTGCCGTTGCTCAAGCAATTGAACAAAAATTGGGAGGTTGGAAGTCACCTAGTCGAGTGGAATTGAAATCAAACTAATCAAACAGTTTTACGATCAAAAAATTTAATCAAATTATATCTTCCAATTATCTTTGATTCATTATTATTATGATTATCTTTCATTTAATTTTACTCTCATTGTTGTTGTTGTATTTTTTTTCTCTCTCGTTGACCTGGTCATCGTTTTCACAAAAAGTTCCTCTTCTGAATTTATTGATTGTTATTCCTTGCCAATTAATTGATTCTGAAACAATTTAATCCAGTTTTAAATTGAATATGCAAAAAAATATATATACAAACAAGTACCAATCGTTATAATATGAAAATTGTTTTTCTTTTCTAAAAAAAAACGTTAATATTGATTATCAGATTATAATATCCATCAATCTATTTTAATTGATTGACTTATTTAATAAAAAAGCAAAGTTATTTCCCCAATTCGATTGGTGTGTAATTAAAATTGAATTTCTTCATCAAATTAATTGTAAACATGTTCACATTGGTTAATTTCTTTGTTGAAACATATCAACCGTTGTCATTTAATTTCTTTCTCTGTCTCATTAATTGTTTATGGTTTGGCGATTTCGATGAGCTTTGATTCACAATAGAAACAGTTAACTTTGTACAGTTTGATGTAATTGTAATTACCAACGCTACCACAAACAGAAGATGCGATCTGTCCAAGGTAAAAGTTTTGACCTGGTTCACCGGGTTTAAAGCGTAAAAATGGCCTCAAACAAGTACAGCAAATCTCTGAACGGATATTGATATAATCCTCCATATCGTAAGGTAAATGAAGGTACAATTGGTTAATTTTGTCGGCAAAATGTAAAACTTGAGAAGCGGCCAAAGAAAATAGATCAGGTAATTCACATGGACGATCTTTGGCCTCATATTTTGGATAAATGTTACCAGAAAGGTCAAGATTGGTGAGTTGCATTCCATTTTTGCGCAATTTCATGAGGAAAATTTGATTCAAACTGGTGATACAATTACCAGATAAATGAAGTTCTTTCAATTTATTTAGAGCGGCAAAGGTAAAGGGTAAATTGTGAATTCGATTGGCACTAAGATTTAGAACGGATAAACAGCGAAGTCGACCAATGTTAAGGGGTAAAAATCTTAGAAGATTATGGGACAGGTCAAGATGGACGACGTTCTTTAGACGGCCCAATACAACTGGTTCGAGTCTTGTGATCTTATTTTTGGACAAATTGAGAGTCTTCAGATTAGCCGCAATGTTAATTATGGACGAGGGTAAATCAGCCAAATTACATTCGTTTAAAATTAGAGTGTTCAGATTTTTCAAATCCCAAATTGCTCTTGGTAACGGGTTAACTTGAAGCAGATTCACTTTTTCCAATGATTGATTTTTAAATGTTTCCTTTGTATAAGTTTTACCAACAATTGAGACACTGGTGGGTGAAGGTTTGATTGACTTTTGCTCCTCATAAGAGACAATATTTTTCCGATCCAATTTACCGGTAATCAAAGCTGAACATTGTTTCATCAATACTTTCAACTGGTATGGATCATTGGATTTAAAGTTAACTGTTCGATTTGGATCTTGAAATTCCAATGCTGAGGAATGAATCTTTTTTAATCTATCAATTGGAAATTTGAATGATTTAGTTGACATGTTGATAACCAAATAGGTTAACTTTTTGTGTTTACTTAATCCAACCTTGGCTCGAGACCATCTTCCCATCTCACCATAAGCAGAGATTGAAACATTACAGTCAAACATTATTTCCAATTGAAAATCACAAGATCACAATTGCGAAAGGAAAAAACAAATACACAAATTACAATAGGAATTAATTGTTGGTCAAAAAAAGAGAATACAATCAAATTGAAAAAAGTGACATTTTCTTTTCTCTCCAAATGTGTTTACATGTGAAGAGAAAAAGAAGCGCCAAAGTAAAGAAGTCGACAGATGGCGCTGGTCATCGAAAGAATATCACATGGATCAGATGTTTTTGGTTCTAAAAGCAAGAAATTAATTACAACAATTAAATTAATTTAAACTGTGAATTAAAATTCTAAACACATAAAAATCCATTGACCTAAGTACCGATCAACGATGGAAATACAAAAAACAAATGAACAAGTAAGTACAAGGTGATCAGCGAGTCTGAAAAATCCCACGTGCAAATCTAATATGTGAACACTAACTGAAAAGATTTCTCTAATCTCAATAGGTATCTCCGACATTCCCCATGTTAAGAGATCCAACACACGAAATGAAAACTCAATATGAAGAATTGAAGATAAGAATATTATCATTCTTTGAAAATTCTAAAATAAACATGCCAAAGATACTCGAGTATCTCTCAGGATCTCCAATAGAGAACCTGAACAATGACTCATTGATTATCCAGAAGTTGACTGAGGACCCAGTTGATGAAAAAGGTGATAAAGTTAATGCGAAATCCATTGACTGGCTCAAAAAGCTTCTGACCACTTATCAGAAGACACTAAAGGTCAGGATGCTTAAGGAGAAAGTCGCTACCACCGAAACTGTTATCACGACTGAAACCCTACCAACCAGTAACACTGGGAAAGAAAAACCACCTCGTAGCAAAAGGGCTAAGAAAGCAGAGAAACAAGATGAAAAGAATAAAACAATTCAACAAGAACGTAAGAAAGAAGAACGTTCCTCAAATATCCTAAAAAGAACATCCGAAGTACCAGCAAGCTGGTGGCCATGGAATTCATCTAATAGAGTATTCAAGATCAAAGTGACTGGACCAGCAGAAGCTCGAACTGTTGAAAAGCTAACAGATATTGTCGCAGCTACTCAACCAGAATACACCTTTAAAATATTGGCATGGAAAGATTTCTCCTTAATTCTACTGAACCAGGAGAATGAGAGAGCAGATCTGGTCAGACGATTAGAAAACAACGTGCTAACCTTTGAGGTTGTCCCCTGGAAGAAACCACAAATAAAAATTAACTACTTAAGACCACCTATTAACGAAAGTTGGGAAAACTTTATGAATCGATTAATGCGAATTAATGGATTCAGAGATGAATCCCAGTTTCGAATAATCTATTATTATGAAATTGGCCTAAATACAAACAAATGGTGTGTGATAATGGAGGTAACCCCAGCGATAAGATCCATGATAGAGATAAAACTTAATGGAAAGATCTCATCGGGCTACAGTTTCCACTCAGTCCTCGACAATTTCCCCATACTTGCATGCAGATTGTGCCATCGCTTTGGACATGCACGAAGACGATGTCGCAACCAGCTTAGATGCATAAAGTGCTCAGGACAACACCTAATCTCAGCTTGTCCAGCCAAAGAATTCTTATGCCCAACCTGTGGCAGACGAGGTCACCAAGCATACACCCGAGACTGTAAGCTCTACATCTCAGAGTTACAAATGTGTATCTCTGAATATGATTATGAGTACGATTTCATCATGATGTAATGGCTACTCCCGAACTGGCATCACCACGTCTGATAATCAAAAGATATTAATGAAAACCTTCAACTAAGTTGTAAACGAAAACATAAAACTTTTCTTTTAATGATAAAAATATTTTTGAATGTATTCAAAAAACTTAATAAAAAGAATTATGAATTAAATAACTCAGGTCTCCAAGTATATTTATCAAGTTGGAAAAGAACAAGGGAACCCTCCGTATATCTCCGCATCAGCTCAGGTTCGGGATTAAAAATATCACCATTATTCACCTCAATGTAACCTTTTGTTGTAGCGACATTGACACAAGTGTGCCAAACATCAGCAACATCGCCTGAATCAGGGAAACGAAATCGACAACCAGTTGAATCTCCATCAGAATCCAAATAGGTCATAAAAACACTACTGAAGGCAACTCGCTTGTATTTAAGAAGTTGACCTTTGAATGTTAACTCGAACTCTTCCTCCATTTCAACACAGAAAGAAGCGTCGTCCATAAGTGGGCCACGTAGACTGACAGCGAGTAACTCAGGCAACTGAAGTATTTCGACAGATTCTAACCTCTTATAACTTCCACCACAAATAGAACCATTCACATCGTTTGGACAACTCAACACGATAAAATCTCTCCAGAAATTTGGTCTTTTCACGGCCTCAGAAATTCGGAAGACCTCAAGATTCTTACAGTTGAGACCAGGTAAGAAAAGAACTGGAAAACTGTAATCAACTTGAGCCTTATAAGAAGGACAATATTTACAGACAAAAATTGTTCTTATTTTGAACATGAAACGATCATGGAAAACCTTATCATTATTAGCCATTTTTCGTATTAAATCAATATAAGCTTCATGCTCAGTCCCTCCTGGTTCCTCATAAACGACTGAACAAAAATCACTCAAGTGTCTTAACAATAACATTTGCTGCTTGTCCAGATCGATATCGTTGAGTGGCTTCTCCTTTGGAGGTAAATTAAGGTCCTGATCGGGGTAGAGCTTCTTAGGTAATAAAGGGGGCACATTTCTTATGGTGAAGCCTTTAATAAGTGATGCTTTCCTCAATTTACGATGAAAATTATACAAGGCAACGACCCAAAGATCTTGAGGTTCAACATCACTAACCAAATTATGACGCTTTAAAGGGTTCACGCTCTGCCCAATACCAATTGAACTGGAAACTTTGAGGAAAGAGGTAAACAAATGTTGTACAAACGCTTGTGAATGAAAGAGCGGAAGAAGCGCCGAATTGAGAAAGCAATGTCCCCTCCAATTTGGTAATGTCATGAGACAATTAGGCTGATAATAGAAGAAATAATTAAAACTGAGATTAGCAAAGGGAAGATGAAAGTCAACTTTCACTCGCTACTTCCTATCTGACATCACGAATGAACATTAACTTACCATTATCAAATTACATCGGGTGAATATAATCTTATGAATTATCTGATGACAAGCCATATCAAAAGCTTTCCGAAACGAAGGATAAACGCCAATCCCATTAATACGATCATCACCGGATACCAAAACCACTTTAACGAAGAAAACACTCTCACCGTTAACAACAAATGAAGCATAAGCTCTATCATCAATAATAACAGAACTATTGATAGTGAGAAACTCACGAGTCAACTGGAAACTTGCACCAACTAGAAATTCAGTAAAACGATATTTATCGTAAACTTTTCGCTGTACTAATCCATTCACAGAAATGAGTCTAAACTCACCAGGAATACGTTCTTGAGACATGATGTAACAAACTATAAAACAATTTCAAATAACCCACGTTAAAAACAGGAAGAAAGTAACTTAGCAACAATGTATAAAAGAGGGAAATCAAACTAATTAAGTGAAAATGTCTTACCAAATCTTACACCAAAACACCAATAAACAAAATTCAGTTACAAACGAGCTTATTGAACTGACAGAGAAATCGCTTAAAGCCATCACAACGATTTGCGAACCAAATTTAAACGAGCTTTTAAAGAAAATAAATAACACCAATGTTTTCGGAAAACGTGGTCTGGCCATTATCATCTCACCTGAATTAGAAGGTAAACTAATAAAAACACAAATAGATGACGTCCTAAGTGTCTACATTGATTCGATAAACCTTCTTGTAATGGTCATCTACATCCGTCCCTGGTTACAACTGAGATTCGATGAGATTCTGGTTACGACAAATTCAACTTTAACAAAATATCAAGGGAGTAATATCATACTCTCAGGTGACCTGAACACTTCGGATGAACTCTGGCAAAGCTGCGAAAACACCCACAAACGAAGAAAAGGTACAACAAGTAACTTCTACGATGGATTAGTGAAAACAATCAAAGACAATGGACTCGTGCCTGTTTCGACAAACATCTCCACCACCTTCCGTTCATCACAATGGGTGATCGACATGATATTTGTCCCAAAAGAAACAGAAATCCTATCGGTAGAAACAATGGAAAACGATTCAGATCACTTGGCAATCAAAACACAACTAAAACTGGAGAAGAAAAAGAAAGAAAAAAGATTAGAGAAGACACTGAAAATAGGTTCATGGAAATACTCACCTGACACCGACTGGAACGAATCACAAAAATGGGATAAAAATCATCCATTGGTAAAAATCTCTAGAGAGATCATCCACTTTCCAGATAATCATGGAATCTGGCAATTCAAAAGAAAGAAAAAACTAAATCAATTCAAGAGATTAGTTAAACAAAGAAGGAAAATGATTAAAAAACGGTTACCGATCCCGATAGAACTTTCAAGGAAAATCAATGGAAAAATGAGGAGATTCAATGTAATCTCGATGCTGAAAAACTGTAAAGATGCGAGAAAACAATGGATGCTGATAAAGAAACACTTATTGACAGAAAAACCATCCATTGATTGGACAGATGAACGAACGATAGAAAGTGCCAGAAAATGGATGGAAGGGTTTACGCCCCAGAGACCAACGTACAAAGATGAATTTACCACCATCAGAGGCGAACTACATCCTCATGAGAAGAAATTGATAAAAGACTTCAAAGCTCAGACATCGAGTCTCTCAGCTGATAATTTTACGATGAAAACCTGGAACAAGTTCATGGCCAGAAACTCAAAAATCGTAACATGGATCATAGAACAAATATTCACGATATCTCATGTGCCCAACATTATGACCACCGTTGGCTGCGGATTTGTCGCGAAAAAAGAAGCCAAAGTTCGAATGGTTAGAACCCCAAATTACCTAATGAAAATAGTAGACAAAATAATAGCGGGAAGATTGATGGATATAACCGAAGACTTCCTCCTAACAGGCACACAATATGGCTTTAGACGATTATATAGCAGAGAAGACTATTTTATAAGAGTCAATCAAATGGAACACTTCAAATCATCGATAATCATTAAAATCGACATAAGAACAGCTTTTGATGAGGTCAGCCTAGTCCCAATCTGGAGTCAGCTGACAAAACATCTTGGTACATCAACAATGGCAATCATATCATCTATTAACAACAACTGTTGGATGACTATATTCAAAGATGGGACAAAATGGTATAAGAAAAGTCCATCTGAAGTATCGCAAGGCTTGGCGATAGGACCTCTATTGTTCATACTAGCACTGGATCTTTGTATGAGAAGATGGTGGTCGAACAACCTAAAGGTCATCGCATACGCGGACGATATGATGGTGATTATCCCACCTGACACTCAATGGACAGTAATGTCAGCGATCGAAGAAATAAAAGACGGTCTGAAGATGATCAACCTTAAAATAAACGAAGAAAAAACAGAAGTTATCTTTCCACTTGACAGAGAGAGAAGGGAGATTTTAGGGTTCACTTTCAAGAGGACAAAAACATCGATAGAAAAACTGAGAAAAGAGATTACTGATCGATACATACAAGAAGCGCTACCAATTTGGAATCACAATTGGCCGAAAATTGGAAAACTACCAAAACAGATCCAAAAAACACTCTTCAACTCGTTTGTTTGGCCGAAAATATACAAATGCCTACCACAAGCGATTGTTAACAATGAAATCAACTTGATTAGTATAATCGAAATGGTAGGTACAATATATAACCGATTTACAGGTCAAGAAAACAACACGAAATGGTCTTATCTGATATTGGAAAATGTTCCAAATCTAATCCTTAAACTGTATATGAAAATGGAAAGCAAGAGATACGAGGAAAAAGGGAAAATCGATGATGTTAAATGGATCAAAGACGATTGGACCCCGATGACGAAAATATTACCTAGATTGATGATAAAAGATACAATTGTTACATACAAACCAGAAAAGAAAGAGGGTAAATCATCGATTATAATCAATATAATCTCATCACAAACCACAAACAAACTAACCTTACTAGTCCCAGGAAAAACAACGCAATTCGAACTGAGCCTGATATCGTTACAAATGGTATTGATGATGTATGGAAATCAAGAGTTCACCATTGAACTGGACCAACTAGCAACCGATTATATAATGGGATCATCAACATATGCGAGAGGAATAAGGAGACTGATGTTATTACCAGGCCCATGGTCTTTCAAATGGTGGGAAGACAGAGAATGGGAAGGGGACATCAGATTGGAAATACCCTTGTTAGAAAAACCACCAAACCTTCTAAACCAACGAACAAGAATGAACATAAAAGAGAAACAAAAATTCAAGGAATTATTTGAAATGTCAAAATCACCACTTAAAGACTTAAAAATTACAACAACAGAAAACCGTCCAAAACACATTAACCACCTGATAACCGAACTTACCCGACACTACCGATTACCAAAATGCTGTGGAAAAGAGATGAATGTTAGACACTTTCTATACGAATGTAACAAAATAGAGACAGAATACCCAAACATAACAGAAATAAGACACAAATATGCAATTGACTGGGACAACAATGATGTAAAAACACTAAAACAAATTGTAAACAAGCTAAAAACACAAGAAAAAATCTTTATGTCACTTACAGAATTGGTTGTCTAAAAGACCAATAGAGGGCAGCAAAATAACTGCTCAGTCATTATGACAACTGTAAAGGTTAACCTGTGGGTGCGAAAATAAAAAAGAGAAAATTTAATTTTTTTTTTGTTATTTTTCTTCTTCTTTAATTACAATTAATTTTATTAGTTATTATTTAATTGTTTCTATTGATTGTATTTATTTTCATTGATTGTAATGTCTTCTCTTGCTAAGACGAATAAAGCTTTTCAGAGACTTCATCGTGAACGTCATCAGGTGAGTTTTTTTTTCTCTGTTGAAATTTATTTTTGTTCTTGGATTTGATTAATTTATTGGTAATTTTTTATTCTATTTGTTGTTTTTTGTTTTGTTTCGTTTTTTAATTATGATTTAGCCTGAAAGTCGGAAAAGATTTGGTTATCTGGAAAAAAAGAAAGATTATAAAACTCGAGCCTTGTAAGTTGATGTTTTTCTTGATTCTTTTTTTTGGTAGATTTAAATGGTTTCAGCATCTCTATTTGCTTATTGATTTTGATTCTTTCTTTTTTTTAGAGATCATCAGAAGAAATTGAGAAGAGTTACCCGTCTAAAGGAAAAGATTGCTAATAAAAATCCGAATGAATTTGATTTCCATATGATCAATTCTGGCCTGATTAATGGTCGACATTACGAGAAGCGGAAAGATTCAGAAAATGTAGAGGAAGTTGTTTCAAAGAATTTGAAATATCTAAATTGGAAAAGAGGAGTTGAACTGAAAAAGATTGAAAAATTACAATCGGAATTACATTTTATCAACTACAGTGATGAGCCAGTTAACAAGAGGATTATCTTTAAAGAACAAGGACCCAAGAAAAAATTAAAAGCAATCGAAGTTACTAATCAATCATCATCGTCATCAAAGAAATCAAATTCTCTGGAAGAATTAACCAAATCAGCTAAACAGATCAACGTTAGATTGAATAAGAAAATTCTCGACAAAATTGCTAAAGAGAAGACAAAATCTTACAAAAATCTAATGACTAGACTTGATAGAGAAAAACGATTACGAGATTTAATTGTGAAAGGTGATTTTACATTGAAAAAATCTTCCACTAAATCAAAATTAAATCCTAAGAGATTTGCTGATGAAGATGATGATGATGAACAACTAGACAAACAATTAATTAAAAAACTACGAAAATAACCAAAACTAAACACTTTGTAAACGAAACAAAATTCAAAATTCTGATTTCCATCTATGTAAAAAGTATCCTAATTTAATCTGTTAATTAAATCTATTGATCGTATTTGGGAAACAAGGAACAATTAACAAATTGAGTTAATTTTTTTTTCGAATCAAAAAAAGTTGAATTGTCTCATTTTCTCCCGAGAAAATCAGATGGCAGCAGCAGCAGCGATTTTCTTTTTCATTTGTTTTCTTTTTTCCCTTTGATTGTAAATTGTTTTTATTTATTTCTCTCTTTAATTGTGATTGTATTTAAATTAATTGTTGCTGTTTATTTGTTATATTCTTGTTAATATTCCTTTCGTTGTGTATATTGTTTTATTAATATGGATAAGTTTTTGGTCGATTTAGATTCAGTATTAGATAAATTGGAGGCCGAGGATGCGGATCGATGTGCTACCGATAAACTTGATGAAGATGATGAACCTTGTAACTTAATTGGATCAAGTGTTTATAGAAATAGTGAAATTGATAAAATTAAACAATCTATTGGAGGTGGTAGTGGTAGTAGTAGCAGTAGCAGTGGTGGTATATCTGATTTACACCATTTAAACCAATATAAATATCAACAACAACAACAACAACAAGAGCCAAAGATTGTCAAATCTAGTGACAATCTAGTAACTGGTAACTCAACTGTTATCATTGGTAATGATAATTATTATAATGATGATGGCGGTGGTAACGATGGTGGGAGTTGTAGCAATAAAAATAGTCATGGTAAAAGTGAATTGGATTCATTTCTTTCATCAAAATCTCAACCAATTTCTAGTGGAATATCATTAACCAATGATACCTCCTTTGGTAATAAAAATAGTGTCAAAGTATCACAAATCGATAAGATCTGTAGTGAGAAATCAAGTGTCACTGAGCTCGTAAACTATCTGAATGATAATGGAAAAGATGAACCAGATAATATTTCTACAATTAATGATATTAGAGGTGTTGTTATTGGTAATATAAATGATGATAATAATGCCACCAAAGGAGAGATCAGAAATTGTGGTAATATCGATGATAATGATGACAAATTAACCAAATTACTGGACTCGTATCATCAAGAGGATAATATAATGCAACAATCAGCGAATCTCGATCAAACTTACAACAATATTAAACCATCAGTAGCTGTAATTAAAGATTCTAATGAGATGCCTGAGAGAGATACTGTCACAGGATATATTGGATTGGAAAAAAATGATTCTGTTTTAATTTCTACCAATATTAAACAATTAGAGAGTAAACCAATTGGAGAAAAGGTGATTTCATCTGCTAGTAATTTTCAAGATTCATTATTAAGCAATCATTCATCTTTACCCTCATCTTCATCATCATCATCAATAACAACATCAATTGTCTTACCTAAGTCAAATAAACTGTTGGAAAATAGTTCAAAAGGAGTACCAATTGACTCTAAATTAAAAGAGGAGGAAGAATCAACAACTGATGAGGAGATGACTGAAGAGGAGGTTAAAGCTTTGGAGAAAGAATTGGAATCTGAATTGGAACGATTAAACCAACAATCTGAGGTATCAACTCTTGAGGATATAATTGAATCTGAAACAAAATCAACCATCAAAAAATCAACAGAAAAAATTGTATCATCATCTGTGACTTTATTTCCACCATCACCATCATCATCATCATCATCTAAATCACCATCAATATCATCAACTATTGCAACACCAGCAACAACAATAAGCACTACAACATCATCCTCATTATCACCCTCGCCCTCGCCCTCATCATCATCATCAACAACAACGACATTATCTTCATCACTATCAACAACAATATCTAAACCAATTGAAACATCAATAGCCAGTGGTGAATGTTTGTTAATCAACCAACCAAGTGAATCTCATCAGTCATCAAATGAAACTACAACAAATGATGATGAGACTACAATGATAAACAAAGATGAATTAACTTCAACTATCAGTGATTATGATAATAATGTCAACGGTGGAAATACATTAATGGTATCAAATAAGCCTAATAGACCTGTAACTTTACCTTTATCCACTAATCAACAGTCCGATCAACCTGGACACACACCTATGCATAGTGATGGTGATGAATTAATACCCAGAGAACCGGAAATCGACACAGAATTAGTAGTATCTTCATCTTCCCAATTAATAACAGTTAACAATCAAATTGAAAGTGATACTACTGTTCCCGAAAATGTACAATCCTCCATGTCAAGTATTGGTTACTTTAAACCCTTCTGGATACCCGATGAAGATGCACCTCAATGTATGATTTGTGATGTAAAATTTACCGTTATGAAGCGTCGGCATCATTGTCGAGCCTGTGGTAAAGTCTTATGTGCCCAATGTTCCCGTTTTAAAGCACCACTGGCCTACCTTTCCTATGAGAAGGCCAGAGTTTGTGATCAATGTCTTCCACTTTTAACCGAAGGTAATTACTGTCAATCAACTTAACCAATTGTCGTCTAGTCTTTGATACAATAAAACATTTAAACATTGATTAATCAAAACAATCCATTTGAATTGACATAGAAAAATAACCAATTACAATTGATAAGCTTATTGATCATGATTATTTACCCTTCGTAATCACCATTATTGTCAATGTCATATTTGTATTGTTATTTCATCTTTACTGATTCTTTTTTTTTGAGGAAAAATTGATTAGCTCTATTTGTTTTGTTATTCATTAGACAATCAAAACCTTTATTATTTATCATTCAACTAATTTTTGTCATCTTTTTATCTATTATTATTATTTTTTAGGTGGAATCATTTCTGGACAAGATAATTCATTCAATGATTCTGGTTACTATCAAGTAGGACAACAACAACATCCACTGGGAGCTGAAGGTCTCCCCACACCAAGTGCTCCACCTCCTCATCAATTAACAGGAACAGCATCATCATCCTTAGTTACTGGATCAACAGCTCAATCTTCCGCTTCTTGTTCATCAAATATTCAACCAGTTAGTGTTTTACGTCGACCTTCAAAACCTCGTACCGGAGAACCTAAACAAGTCATTTTCTCTGATGGTATTCGACCTGGAAACGATTTAAAAGATGACCAGGTCACCTCAATTTCTCATCGTCGTCATGCCAAAAAAGTTAAATCACCACCAATAGAAAAAAATCCCTCATCACCAGGTTTCTCTTCCTCATCATCTAAATCACGTCTTTCCAAACGAATTGTTATCCAAGATGCAAATGGCCAATTACCACCAATTCTAAATGCACCCTCTCTCCATTCTGATCCAACCTTTGATAATCTAATTATTCTCCTTGAAAAGGAGGATGAACCACCCGTTACATTTAGTTTAACCAAGAATCTAATGGCCTTGGTTAAACTAGTTAAACTTGATTGTTGTACAAATGAATATTGTTGGTCATTTACAAGTCAAAATCTAGCGACTGTTGGTCAAGATGAGATTATTGTTGTCGTGGAAAAAATTTCCGGAGAAAATGTTCTACCTCGAGATATATTTCGTCTATTTGCTTATATTTACGATTCAGCGAGTAAAGGTAATAATAGTCAACAGAACAATTAAATTAATCTAATTACCATTATCATCAGAATTTTAATCATCAGTCTAAATGAGGGAATCACCAAAATTATCGCATTTACTTATTCTTATTGTAACTTGATTATCTTTTTGGTTGTTTGTCAATAATCTTACTTGAGTTTACTCTTAATTGGTTTTACTAATTTAACTCTTTCTCTCATCCTTACAGGGTATCCTTTCTCAGAACTGAGTCATGTCTTATATCCTGATGGATTTTTCGGATTAAAAGATTTTCCATCATTTGTTTTCATTCGACCAACATTCCAGTGTCTTAATAAATTAACTCTTCCACCAGCACCTTTTTTAATTGGCGTATTAATCCATCGATTTGAAGTACCTTGGGCTAAATTATTTCCACTTCGATTAATTCTTCGATTAGGTTCTAAATATCATTGTAAGTTTGCTAGAAAATTTGATTGTTGAAGGAAAAAAGTAATTGACTAAACTGTCTCATTCATTTTCGCAGGTTATCCTTGCCCGATTGTTAGTTATCGAGCACGTCGACCATCATACTTCGAGATTGGACATACCGTCATGGATATTTTAGCGGTAAATTGATTTGCAAATTTTTCGATGACCATTCAATATCTTAGAATTGGAAATTGATTATCATCTTTGTTATTTATCTGATTGTTTTAGGATTTTCGTAATTTTCAATATACTCTACCTGTGATACCTGGATTAACGATCCATACTGAGGCCAAACGGACAACGGTTACTTTTCCCAAAAATCGTTATGATAAAGTAATGAAAGCGTTGGGTTCTAGTAATGAATACGTTTTATCGTTTGGTGGGACATTCAGTTTAACAGCTGATTCACATTTAACCTGTATACAAAATGATGATGGTCAATATCATACCCAAACAATTAAATTAAATGAAAGTGAAACAGTTGAACCTAAAATAACTGGTGCAAGCTTCATTGTTTTCAGTGGAGCTTTAAAATCATCAACTGGAATGGCGGCTAAGATGAGTGTAGTTGAAGATGGCCTGTTAGTCCAAGTAACGGCTAATACATTAAACTTATTGAAATCATCTTTAAAAGATATGAATGATTTTGTCATTGAATGTGGTAAAAAAGATGCTCCAACAAACGAGGAAAGTGTTTCAATTATTTGGGGTGAAGATGATAAACAATTTAACCTTGGGTAAGAAACTATGATCTCTATAATTTGATTGTTCATTAATTATTAACCAAATTTCTATCAATAATATAGAGTTCGAAGTTGTATTGATGGGCTATCACTGAAGGAATTAATAGCATTCGAATGTACAGTGGAACAGATTTCGAAGGAGACAAATATTTAATTCGTTGGGTTGAACTATTTTTAATTCAGAACACTGAGCTTCCAAGAAGGTATGAAAAAACTTACTTGGATTAATTTAACTTCGATTGGTAATAAATGATAAATGATAATAATGATTCTCATTCATTTAAACAGTAGTGATGGTTACGATGCCGGAAGAGCGGCCGAAATAATCGCCCAATCGTTTTGTCCAGCATTAGTACCATGTCTGGAATCACTGGTCGAATCAAAAATCACAAAGATCGGATTAAGAGTAACCCTAGACCCTGATAAGGTGATTAGATTACCATCAACAAGTCATCGAAATATGATCATATTCATATTTGTAGATTGTCATGATTCTAATTGTCTAATTTTCTTTACAATTTAACAGATTGGTTATGACATTGGTAGCAATGGGTCACCATTACCCTCCAGTTATATAAATCGTTCCGATGCAGCCTTGATTCCCATTATTATGGGCAACATTGCACCCAATATGGAGGTTCGCCTTGTTATCGAGTTGATATTTTATATTTTGGTTAAATGATTGTGATTAATTTTAATTGTGATCATAAACTTTACCCTTAAATCGTAAACAATGCAAGCTCATATATTGTTATTTTAGTATTTCTTTTGTCTATTGTTACTTTTCAGAGAGAAAGTAACTACCAAACAAAAAACATGAGATATAAATGGGAAAAGAAAGAGATTTTAATTCAAAAAAATCAATTGATTACACTTTTTTAAACTACAATCAAGTCTTTTTTTTTCAACAGCAATTTAATCACAATCAATATTATCCGATTGGCAAATATACTTATGAGTGCAAAAATCTTTATATTATACTTCAATCCTTTGTTTCCTATGAATCTTTTCAAAGCAAAAACTTAAATTAATTTAAAAAGTAAAATCAATTACCGTTATTATCGATTGATAGTAAAACAATTAACTATTGTAAATGTTTAAGAGTAATTAATAAACATAATTGGATTATATCAATACTTTTACCTGATAATTTCAACCTGAATGATTATCAATCGATGGATTTGTAATTAAAACGGTTAATTAATTATTCAAATTGTTATGGATCTTGATTGTTTGGATGATGAATGATATAATTATCATCTCATGAGAGCTAATTAATCCCTGGTACCCAATTTTGTATGGGAAATGATTAGCAATCAATAAGAAAGGATCAATTGAATTGAGATGAATCAGTTAATTGATTTTGTTATGACATTGTTACAATAAAAATACTTGACAATAAATTGGTGGCAAATTAATTAGTCTCAATATGAAATTGATTTTAAGTCAACCGCTGATTATTCAGTTAATTTGCTTAATCGGATGTGCATTTCAAACTTACACGATTACGATTGAATATTTACAGTTCAAGACTCGAAGCGATGCCACTTTTGAACATCCAACTTTCATCGAGTTACCAGCGATTGATATTAGAGTACCGATCGCACCAATGATCAACAAAACGGAACTATGTTCGCGCTATTCAACACAAATGAGCGGTTGGGACATTGTATTGGCGAAGTACGATCCATCAAGGAATGAGAGTGGAACAGTTAAGTCGGAATGTTCAAGTTCTGATAAATTACCGATATTCTATGGACGATTTTTGCACGATTTTCTTACGGTACGAGATATTCACGAATTGATTCCTGACCCAGAGGAAATTATTCATTCGATTCAATGGCGATATATTTATGAACAAGGTTTCGAGGCTAATAAAGTTCGAAAAAATTTGAAACGATCAAATTACTGTAGAACGAGTAAATATTTCAATAGCAGGTCAATCTTTATTCGGGTCTCTTGTAAGAATGGAACTGATTTGTTCAAGAGTAAATTCAATCGGTTAATCGATGATGCGATTTACTTTGAGATGAAATTGAAAATTGGACACCCGTTTAGTGTAAAGTTCAATGATCATAATAAACTGCCAGAAATTGCTGATGGTAGTTATCATACTCCCGATTCTAAAATGTTTTATATTAAATACTCGAAGATAGTCACGAAATCACTGCCATATCCTTACGAGACACTTTGTCAAAATTATGATAAAATGGCGGAATTACATGAGTGTGTTTCGAGGAATACAACCAACTCGAAATTTCCTTACCTACAGAAGGATGTTCTAAGTGAATGGAATACTCGTCCTGAGAATTGTCATTTTAAATATGAATCACTTAGTAAAATCGAAGATTCTTGCAATGAGAAAGTCGATTCTCCAGAATGTGATCAGATTTCTTATTCGTTGATCACTGAAAAGGAACGTTCTGTTGGCCATGCTACCGAAGTTTTCCCGGCTGATCATCCCTACAGCCTAATTCTGATTCCACCAACTGATCCGATTCTCAGTATAATCGCTTACCCGTTGTTTTCTTTCGTCGAATATCTCATATTTGTTGGAAGCATTTCGGGTCTTTGGTTTGGCTTTTCAATTTTCCACCAACTTGTCAAATGTCCAAAAGTCGATATCTGTCCATACTCTCGAAAAGCTAAAAAGTCCGAAGCGAATGTAAAAGACGGAAAATGGAGCAGAAGTTTGAGAGAAAATTTTACTAATAATCATCACTAGAAAACTAATTGATCGAACTTTGTTTTCTACAATTAAAATTGATTGTAAAAGACGATCGATTTGAAGAAATCAACAATTCTTTTCTAATAGATTGACAATTGTCGCATTTGAAAAATTACCATAATGATTGATAATAATTCGTAATAATCGAGTGATATAATAAATGGGATTTTTATTGCAATTGATTGATCATTATTATTGATATATTACAAAATGAATTCTGTTACACAATTAATGGTGACAATGGTTAAAATTGAATCAATTAAACATCTTAAATTTCAGTCTAATACAATTGAAAAAGTTGGGAAAGAGGAAATTGTTGTCTGATTGAATTTCAATTAAATTAATACAAACAGTAGATGAGATCAGTTTGTGATCATAATTGTTAGAATATATATAAAGACAATTAAAGATTATAATTAAGATGATGAATAAGATGATGATGAGAAGCACTTTGATCACAATGAATGGCACTAGAGTCACAACTCAATTAGCTGATTAGCATTAATTGTTGAGATGATGATTGAAAGTATTCACTTTCACTTTCAGTTTCTTGATTGAAGAATTGTCAATTAATTGGAAGACTGTGAATTAAATTGTTGACAAAATACAATGTAAATTGAGATCGTTTAAGTTGAATTGTGGTCTGACAATTTAGGTTATTGTCATAATTGATTTTTATATAAAAAAACAAATCATTTTGTGCAATTTAAAGTTGATTATAAATAACTGCCTAGCAAGAATTGGGGTTATTTGATTTTCTCATAGATTTTAACAATTAGTCTCAAAAGAAAACTCCAAACACTAATTAAACCAGAAAATACTCAAAAAAAATATAAATTAACAATTAAATTGTAAATTATCAATGTGAACATTAAAATTTTCCAGCAAATAAATTAATTGTTATCCAAATGATGACTTATAGTAGAGAGAGAGAGGAAGAAAGATTGTCAATAAAAATTGATTAATCTAATCAATGGTTACTTAATTGTTGTGAGCTTTTAGATTTTTTATCATTCAATCGCTTCTTTTTTAATTGCTCCATTTTACGAATGAGTCGCATTTCGGGTGAAAGGTCATCAGAATCATCTAAATTAAATTGACTTCGATTGGAATTGGCTTCCGATTTATTGATATTGGTTAATCCAAGATGATTAAAGTTGTAAGTAAAATTTGAGTCCAATGTTTTCATCAATTGTAACCTTTCAGCTAACAATTGTTGACCATAATTGTAAAGTTCAACATCTAAATGATTTAACCAACGAATCTTGTCCAAAACTGATTTATCCAATTCATCAAGTGCAAGACTTGAATGAGTTTCATTTAGTTGAATGAAAGGTTGAAGAAAATATAATTTAAATGTTGACTCGAAAAGATATTGTGAAATTTTCTGCTGCTCGCAAAGGCCAAAGAAAGCCATTCGTTTGAGATTCTCTTTGGCACTAGCAAGTAGTATTGTGTTCCGTTGGTGTTCCGACATAATCGATCGATTATAACATCCAACCAATGTTAGATCGGCTAACATTCGGGTTTGCCGATTAATCGCTAAATTGTAGGGGCAAGCGATAAATTCTTGAAGAGATACATTAGTCCAATCTTCACCCGTGTAACATGAAGGTAATTCCTCTGGAAGTGCTGGTCTACCTCCACAAAGATGCAACGAATTTTTCCAAGTAGCACCTCGTTGGGTGTGACGAAATTCACTTAAAAATCGTGAAACTGGTTCACGAAGTAGAGTAATAAAAAAATAGTGATGATCTGAAACCTTTGAACGGTCACTCTGGTTCATAACACTGTCAACACAATTAGTTAATTCAGTCCAATCGGCATGTAATCCACATTTCCAACCAGTAGTGTATCGGGAAAATAACCATAATCGTGACTCTGAATTGGGTCTGATACATTTACAAATCTTTTTACCTTTTCTACATTGACAAGGTGCTTCAAGATCAAGATCTCGTACTAAATGGTGGCCGAAACTTGTTCCACCTAAGAAAATAATAATCAAAATAGAGAATAGAATCAAAATTTGAACATAGAACAATAATAGAAGAGATTAAATTAGAGGGAAAATTATCAAGAAATTAGGTACTAACCAGTTTTTTGCATATGAAGAAAAACCATAACATCATCACCTTTTATGTCGAACATAAAATTTGGATCTTTAATTATTTGATCGAAAGACATTGTATTAAGCTTTTTACTAGGATTAATTGCTCGATGAGATGGTCTCATCAATTTCATTGACTCGATAGACTCAATTGTTTCACTTGTACTGAAACCAGTGATTCCACCACCACCAGGATCAATTTTACCAGATTCCATGTACATAAGAGATTTACCAACATGATTTGGAATATGTTTATAACTATATTTTGTCCATAATTTATACCTTGACTCCGAAAATGACCAGTTACTGAGAGAGCAAACATTATCTGGACACAAGTAGCCAATGATCAATAGGGAGATGGAAAAAAGTAGAAAACAAAGAATAGCAGCAGCTCTAACCATAGATAATCTACTGGCCATTCTTTACATTACAAACAAAAAGAACAAAAAATAGGAAGAACAGAGGAAAAGGAAGAAAGAAACAAAAAAAAACAATTCTCTTCCAATTTAAAACAAAATCATAATCAATTGATTTCTATCTGTAACTCAACATCATCATCTCTTTAGAATCAAGATTAACTGAATTGAAGATAGAAAACAAAAAAGATGTTACAAATAAGAGGAGCACAGAGAAAAAACACTAAACAGATCAAAGTACATTCCTGGGAAGCAAAACAAAGAGAAAACTTGATTAAAATAAATAAAGTGAAAGTAATTAATTAGACAATTAGTCACTTGAAGATTAATTAATTGTGAGGAGAAAAATAATTTTTGTTTACAAATTTTTTTTTCCAAAGAACAAATGAAAAGTTGTTGATAGAAAAACCAGATGGCAGCACAAAAGAACGAATCTGATTGGTTGATGAACTTAAATGTGATAATATTTGAATTTTGAAAATCGGTTTTCAATCTCATTCAATTTGATTTAATGTTCACTTTGATTAATTAATTGTAATTAGAATTTGTATCTCCAAGTTTTATCTGTTCTTTTCTTTTTCACAATTTTCCATTATAGACTATTATTATTCATTAACCATGGGAAGTTTAACAAGTAAGGAATGGTTCCAGGATAAGAAGGAAATGTTTGCCACCCCAAAAAATAAACGAGTCATTAAATTGGCCGCCGATCCAAGATCACCCGGAGTTGGTCGGACACCGTTACAAGTGTGTGTTAAAGATGGAACCACGGCCAACGACAATTGTGGAACACCTTTACGTGCTAATTAAAGAGGACACCATCTATATTTTCTTAAATTCTCTGACCTTTAAATCTCATCCTAAAAGTCAAATATTCTTGAAATAGTCAATCCTTCATGTTTTTTTTTAAAAAAAAATCTTTTTCAGTTTCTCTTCAATTTGACAAAACCATTTGATAACACATTAATTTTGGTATTAATCACTAACCTTTTCTCCTTTGACTCGTTTTAAAATGTCATTCCAATGTTGAGAAAATTTTTCATTAAATTGACATTTTGAGAAACTCAAATTTCCCAATGAAACTTTTGGCTTTAATTTTTTTTTCTCTTCTCACTGAGTCTGAGCAACATGAAGAAAAGAACAGCTGATCAGTTGTTTATTCGTTTGTTTTTTAGAAAACATTTTTTTCTACCAAAAATTTGTGTCAATTTTTCTCTGATTTTCTAAATTGATTATTATTTCTTTTTTCTCCAATTAACTAACTTTTAATCCTCTTTATGTTCTCACCATGAATGCGAGATCGAATACCTTTGAAATAGTAAGTTGTTTTCTCGTTAAACTGAACATCACTTTTCACTTTCTCTTTTTTTTCCTTTGTCACAAACATCGTTTTCTTTTCGAAAAGTGAATTTTTTTCTTCTTTTCTGATTAACTGATTTTCTTCATCATGATGGATTAATTTCTTAATTTCTTAATTTTTTCTTATTCTATTCATCTATAGAAATGCGCTGGTCATCAGATAAACGATGTGGTCTCAGCTCTGTTTCATTCGATTCTTTTTTACCGAACTACTGGAAAGGTTTGTTTTCTATTCTTTTTTTTTGTCTCATGTTAATTTTTTCTTTTTGCTAATTGTTTTTTCCCTTAGATTACTTATAAGAATGACAGTAGTTACCTTGTTGGATCTCTTGGTTATGAAGATGTTTCTTGCGATTTTATTGACTATAGTTATGTAAGTATTTCTAAATGTTTGGTCCTCCATTTTGAAAAATAAAAGTAAAACCAATTGACTCAATTGAGCTTCTCGATGTAAACAAATGTTCATTTATTGAGCTTCCATATCTATTGTTTAAATTATCTTTTCACTCCTATAATTTTTTTTTGATTTAATTTTAGGTTCGATGTGCATCACCAGGTATTATTCACTCATTAAATAGTAATATCAGAGAATTTGTGGAAAAACTCAGGGAGAGTAGAGAAAAAGTTGGAACCATAACTCTTGAATTTTATCATAGGAAAAAATCTGCTGGTGTATTGGGCCTTTTCTTTGATTCACAATTAGTTTGGGAAATTTGGAATCTTAAAATTGTCTGTGGTAAGTAATTAACTTATACATAAACTCAAAATTACAGACTAATTTACACAATTTAATCACCATTTTAACTCTGTTTTTATCAACTCTCTCCAAATCTCAATAGCTGATGAAAAGGAGGCAAGAAAAACCGATTTCAAGCTTGAAGAGGTTCTTCTTGATAAATTAGTGACCATCATTCAGATAGTAAATAACAGCCGATGTATAACACCACAAATGCCTGATCGTGCTAATGTTGATACTCTATTCGATATTACCTTTGACGATGTACAACCCTATTTACACCGAGTGAGTTGATCTTTTAATTAGATTGATCTTGTTTTCCTTTTTTTGTTGTTGTTGTTCATTTCATTTAATTGTTTCTCTCTGTTCTTAGATTTATCACCGAATCGGAGATGGACCAAATGCCACAACAAACCAAGGTACTGATGATTTGGGTCTCAAAAAGTTCATCAAAGACGCGTTAACCTTATAATTAACTTCATCTTCACCCATTAATCGTGATTTCATCATGAAACAATCAACAAATTGTTCGTTAATCTCTGATTCCCTCTCTCTTCCTTCTTTGTAATGACGAGACGTTTATTTCATCGCTGTATGAGTATCAATCTCTAATGAAATAATTTACACAATCAAAATGAAAGACATTTTAACTTTTCTTTTAACTTTAACTTTAATTAGTTGAAATGAAAATTAAAATGATTAAAACATGTAAACAACGACAAGTAACTTTCATTTACAAAGTAAATATGAGATGAGAGATACACTTTTGTAATAATACTTAAGAGTTACCATAATGAGAGGAAACCAAATCTTTTACGAGGTTTTGGTTTAGTTGGATCAACAGATGAATCTGATGATTGTGCAGTTGATTCAGTTGATTGTTCAGGTTGATTAGCCTGTTGAATAAAGAAAAACGATCGAATATAACTTCGGCATAATGGACATTTATCAATTAGACCATAACATTCACAGCAAATGCAAGCATGTCGACAAGGTAAAAGTGCTCGGGAAATTGTCGCATCTTGACAAATGACACAAACTGTAACGGACTTTGAAGTTTCATCAACCGTAGCTCCTGGAGTGAATAGAGATTGTAAATTGTAAACATTACCATATCGTAATTTGGTTAATTGGGTAATTATATTACTATCCATTGGACAAATATCATCTCGTATATGTAAAATACTAGTTAAACAAACGATTTCATCTTTAAGTTTCCTGTTGTTACCATTGCCCTTTGAGGTTGATGGTTTGTTCAATTGATCCTTAATTGTTGTGGTTTGATCGTCAAGGGAATCATCATCATTAATGGAAAGTATAATTATCAACGGATAACAAGCTCTTGGAGATGTACCGAGCATCTCTGAAGTAATTGGATTTTCACTGACAATGTGACGGGTAATTGATTCACCGATTGGAGGTTCAATCTCTTCAGGTTTAGATGATTGTAAACAATTTTCAGCCAAAAATGAGCCTTCACGAATTAATTGTCGCATCTCGGACCAATCTTTTTTCAATGATTGATGAAATTTGGATATATTAACACCCCAATAGCTGGTTAATCTGAATGGTTTGTCTCCAGTTATCTTAATTGTTACACCATTTTCCAATTGTCCTTCTCTGGGCTGTTGATCATCAAGAATTAAAGTGAAAGGATTTCTCAAGATATTCATGTCCTGAGCGATTGATGGTTTCGGGTCAAAAACGGTTATCGAAGGTCGTTCCATGGCCACTCTATTAACAAACAGCCTAAGAATCAAACAAATATACAAAGAACACAATTGGATCACAATTAAACAGAAAAAAACAACAATTAAAACCAAAAAGAGATGTGATTGTTTACCAAAATAATACTTTTCTATATAAACATTAGCTTTGAGTTTTTTTGTCTCTACCTACAATCTCTCTCTCTCTCCCATCGATATAATAATCATGATTAATAACGATTAATTGGTGACAATTAACTAACCTTGATAATATAGTAGTTACGGTGAAAAAAAGTCCAACAATCAATAAAAGTGAAGGTGATGAATACTGTAAATCCAACCACAAAGGAGCCCAAAGAGGTAACATGTAGATAGCTTTGAATGAATTTCCAAAGAATCAATTTAAATGTTTTAATTGTTACACTTAATTGACCACATCATTGAGAAAAGATTCCAATGTATAAATGTGTCGATTAAATTGTAAATTAATCAGTTTCTTGATTTCTCTTGATTGGTGACAAGACACAGAGAGAGAGAGAAAACAAAACAATAACAATAACAAGGAATCGATTGCTAAGCAACCAGAATTGTCAACGATTTATTTAGTTAATTTCGAAAGTATTTTTATTATTATATATTCGATAATAAATTGTTATAAACAATTAAATGAAGAAAATTGATCAACATAATAGTATATTTTTCTTTTTTACATATTAATCGATTGTTGACCATTTACAAATCAGTAGAAGTGTAATAGAAATACAATTAGAATCTGAATGGAAAATTATCCTTATTAATGTTTCGACTTTTCAAATGATCGATAAATTGAACAATCAAAATAATATAAGAATTTTTTTTTCTTCTCTTCTTTCGTTCGGACAATCGATCGGATAAATTGGTTGTTCTTTTAGATGGTTAATGATAATGTCCATTTTAATGATTTAATTGTAAGGTAAATTGTTGTTGTTTCTGTTTCGAGATCATTTAATTTGATCATCTTTCATTAACGAACCTAAATCACCATCATCACCATAATTGGACATTTTATTATTATCATTGTAATCATAAGAATCGGTTGATTGATAATTAGTCTCTTCATCCCATCTTCGATCTGTGAATGAGAAAAAGTTGATCACCAATTCTGTGATTACGATTTAAATTGTTGATTTGATTGTATTGTGTCATAATTAGACTCTTACCTGACCAGGATGGCGGTGGGGTGGGTGATCCCCATGAGTTTGATTCGTGTTTAACTATTGGTATTTCCACCTCTTGGATTGAAATGATGTGTGTCTTTTTTGGTGAATGTGACACTGGTGCTGGTGGAGGCGGAGGCGGTGGCGGTGGCGGGGGTGAAGGTGCTGGTATCATTTTGGGAACTTCAATGGCCACGTAGCGAGTTTGAACTTGTGGTCTGCACGTACACGTACCTGTTGACTCGTAGAGGGAAAATATTGTTTAATTGTTGATAAATTTTGCTACTAATTGGAATTAAGATTCTTAATCAAATCTTACATTGACTATCACTCGGTGGTGGTGGTGGTGATCCTTTGGAACCAAAGAAACTGAACTTCTTGAAACATTCACCATTTAATGTAAAGAAAAATATTATTAGTAGACAAACAATTGCTAAATCCATTTGATTAATTAGCAACAATTAGAGATTTTGATAAAACAAGTCATTAATTATTTTCTTTAGTCAATTTTCATGTAAAAGTTAATTAGGTTCACACACATCAGAATTTGATTTGCTATTGAGGAGAAATTAATATTTCTCATTTTTCTTCATCGTAAGTTAATTGTTACAATTTGATTATCTTCTAATCTGTCACCCACTTACCTAATTGATTAAGATGATGATGATTTAGAAAATAATTTAAATGTAACTTCCGCAATTTCTGTAATTAATGGAGAGCACAAATTAGATTAAAACTTTTCTTAAAATCAAAAATCAATAAACAACAAACACTTTCAATTGTAATAAATCATCAACCATTTTCATGGTAATTAGTTAATTGTTACTCACCATTATTATACTTGTAATTGTGATGATAATGAGAGAGACTGATGATTGAAATTAATAGGATCAAATGATAATCATTTCATTGAATATTATCACTTTTAAATGATTCTCGCTAATTGTTACAATAAGAAAACTTTTGAACCATAATTTTTTTTTTGCTTTCACAAATCTCTAAACAATTATCCCAATCAAATTATTTTCCATTAAAAAGCAAATTAAAACAACAATTAACTCGAAAGTTATTAAGGGTAAACAGTTTAACTCAGAAAACTCAAGAAATTGTCCGACCAACGATCACAACCTTAGCACCAAGAGACGAAAAAAGAATGGCCTTAGCAGCATCGATATCATCAATCGATAATCAGACCAATTTTCCCGTTAAGTTAATCATGTTCACAATTAACTATCTAAAGCTGAGAATGCGAAAACTTAACTAATGTCCAGCTTTCGATTCGGCAATCATACCTTATTCGTGATGGTGTTACGATCTTATCGTCGATTATTATCTTATTTTTTGAACCTCTGTACTTTTCGTTTCTCATTGTCGAACGAAGTGAAGACTTTACTTTCAGAAATCTAATTTTCTACAGTCGATAACTCAAAAAACGACACTTCAGATCACTTTGATTTCTTCAGACCAGCTTTATATGTGATGTTAGTAGCGCTGTATAGTTTTTGAGCGCGATTGGCCCAGTCCCTTAAACACATAACCTAAATCCATCTATGTATGGATCGGTAAAGTCGCACATTCAAAGACAAACAATTATAACAATTAAATTGTTATCGTAAAGGTTTTTGTTGTTTTCATTAGTTTCGTATTCGAAATCAGATCAAATTCTGATAATTCTGCAAAAGATGAGTTATTTTCTTGACATTAATCGTTAATAATTCTTCTTATATCAACTTATATCAATACATTTGTTTTTTCATACGAGGCCAATTAAAATTTCATTCATTTTCAGTACGATTACGAGTTATTATCCTCAACTCAATTAGTAAGAAAAACGCTAAGATTGATCAGATTTCTCTTAGCAATTAGTTTACAGAGAGGAAGGACCAATGAGTTGATCGAAATTAACAAAAAGAGTCACAATTAGCTCGATTAGTATCAGCGAGTAACAATTTAGAGAGATGAACAAATGGCTCCACCTTATTAATAGAAATGACGTTAGAAAAAAGGTAATCAGCTGATCCGAATTTCTATTTTAGCCTCTTTCTGGTTAGAGAATTTGTTTTCTTTCTAATTAGTGTTTCTTTTCTTTATCATCTTAGTTTAATCTTTTTTTTTAATTGTTAATTGTTCTAACTTACAGGTAATGTCTTGTAAATTGACTAAATTATCTTCGTTCAAGGAAAGACTTTCAACCATTGAGAATATTTTATTCTATGATGATTTCAATTCTCCAGTTCCATGTAAGTGTATTTACTTTGAATATTTTTTTCTCTTCTCTTTTCATTTAATTTGGTTAATTGTGGAAATTTTAATGATTTCTTTTCATTGCTAATGTAATTTACTAATTGTTATGTTCTCTTTGTTTTCTTCTGGTTTCATTTTTAGCTTCCATTAATGAATGGACAACCTCTGAATCTTTCCATGATGATCCTCATGATGATCCAACGTTTTCATCATCATCTAAGATCTCAATTCCTAAAACACTTAATGATTGTCTTATTGCTTCATCTCCTTCTGGTGATTTAATTGTTTTTGCTTATGGTAAAAATGTGGCCATTTTTAGGTATCGAGAGGAAAAGGAAACTCAAATTTGTGGTACTACTCTCTTCGAGATGGAACCTGGTGAAAAGATCACTTCTCTCATCTGTTTACCTTTCGTTTCTCAACAAATCAGTAATCAATGTCGATCTGATTGGTGTGCTATCATTTTAGGATTTTCTTCCGGCTATTTGAGGATTTACACCGAAAATTTTACCAAACTATTGACACAGAAAATTTCTTCTGAATCGATAACCTCAATCAAAGTGAACAGTTTCCTTTGTCCTTACACTTCGGGAAGAATTCGTCATTCAAATTGTAATAAGAATGTCGATGAAATTTTCATCTTTTGCCGAACCTTTTGTATGATCATTGATGGATTTGTTTTCTATCAAACACTTCGCTCATGTCGTAACTATATTCCTCGTAATCGTCAATGTGTTCCCGATATTGAAACTCATCCAGAATTTGCACTTCGATTTAAAACTTGGCTTTTCAAAGACTGTGATCGAATCTTTGATGCAGATAATTGTGGATCTCATGAAATTAGTGACTATGATTGGCTTGTATCTCGATCAATATCCAAAGGAACCTTTCGGAGTCCCTACAATCGTCAGACCAATGGGAATTTAATCATTTCAACCGGAGAAGATCCTTTCATTGGTCTTCGCAGAGCAGATGAGGTAATTAATGTCCAGTAGCAAAAAAGATTTTCTCAGTTAGAAAATTCTAACATTTTGTCTCTTTTCTCATAAATTTTCTCAGATTGATTCGACAAGTGTCCTAGAAGAGGTAACCCAAGCCGTGGTCAATAAGGTCAAAAATGTATTACCCACCTTCTTAAGAAGTACTGAAAAACCCAAGCCGAAAGTTGACCCTCCACTTGATTTCTCTTCAAACCTCGAACTTTATGATCAGTATCGAATTGGAGTGAAAATCTGTATCTCACCAACTCGTGAAATGGCCGCTGTTTGTGATGAATTCGGGCGAGTGTGCCTTGTAAATCTAAGCGATGGCCTAGTAATCAGAATGTGGAAAGGTTATCGAGATGCTCAATGTGGATGGATTGAATCATATGAGAATCCAGATGATTATAAATCAAGAAAAATCACATTTCTTTGCATCTATGCACCAAAACGGGGACTTCTTGAAGTGTGGAGATGTCAACATGGACCTCGAGTTCATGCATTTAATGTTGGTAAATCTTGTCGTCTTTTATATTGTGGATACTCAATGTTGGGTCTAAACGATGTCCTAATCAAACAATATCGCAAAAATTTTGGTCCATTTTTACTTTCTCCTGATTCGTGTTACCTTATCGATTGCGAATCTTGTGATATTTACACGTTTCAAGTGCCCTTCGTCGTTGGTCTAACTGATCGTTTTAATCAATCGAGTAAAGATGAATTACTTTATAAGGAGTTTACAAATATACCGATTGACATTAACAATTCAGAAAATTTCATCTCAATTTTTGATAAAATTAAAACTCATCAAATTAAATGGCAGGCAATTGATTTTATCATTGGTCATTCAATGGTCTCTCTAGTCAAAGATTTGTGTCAAACTTTTACCTCTCAATTACCTGACGATCAAAATACTTCGAGTGATATTGAACCGAAAACTGATCCAATGGTTTTATCTTCAGCCCAACGGTGTCAAAAGATGATTCAACTTTGCCAATTCTATCAATCATTTGAACAATTAGTTAAACCGATTGCAAATGTGACGATAGTTAGCTCATTTCATCAAGACTCACCGGACATTGAAAGTCAATCAGAATTACTTGGTTGGTCTGATCGTGATTACGCTCGATATGTTTCCTTTTTTAGCTTGAAAGAGGTCGTTCTTGGCTCAGGTCAAGAGGTCAAATTAAATCCTGATTGTATAACTTTCGCTGAATTAGTTGATTTCTTTTTACCCAAACAAGAAGATCAATTAGATGAAAGTTCATCTCGATCATCAATAACACCAAAGAAAAAAGTTTTTCAACTTGAACAACTACATCGAGTTGGAGATTTCATTTTGATCCCTGGACTTTTTTCTGAAAATCTCGAAGTGTGTGCAGGCCACATCGAGTCGTTAACATTTATCGCTCCACAAGAAATACTTTACTGTTTATTTGCTTCGTGGCTTCACATTGACTTTACTGGCGATTGGAGGTATTGGCCGAGATTTAATCGTTACGTGTCTCTGATTGTTAACATGTTGCGCCAAAAACATGCCAATGGATCAGATCAATGGCTTAGAATTTTGAAAATTGTAACTTCGTTAATTGCTCAGTCATCATTGATTCCATCAGCATTAATCGCATCAATGGTCTTGTTAACCTTATACTCGGAATTTGATCTATGTGAAGAAGCTACTCCTTCGAGTAAATTAAAGGCAACTGATGATGAACAAGAAAGTTGCATACCCGAAGAATGGGAAAATTTATCCATAGTTAAAGAGAAATTAAGTCTTCTCATTAATCAACTGGAATCGACATTTTTCCTCAGTTTAACTCTACATTCCAATGTTAACTATGATCCAGGTAGAATTTCACTTTCATCCCTTCGTGAATCTCTCCCTGGAATCGTCAGTGAATCAATAGCTAAATGGGCGATATCTTATCCTCTTAATCCATCAATTATTACATCACTTGAAGGTGATGATGATTCAGATGACGAAAATAAAATAAATTCAGTTAGTCAAATAACCTTTGGAACTGATATTGTTGCTTCGCAAGAAGAATCAACAATCAAAATTGACACGACGGTAATTCAACAACTTCTATCCAAAGTTCGTGATCAATTTCCTCGAAGTATGGAAAGCGATGTCATCCTAGCAAATTGTGCTTGGGAATGTTTGATCCTTTGGGATAAAGATCCAAGTATGGGTGCTACGTCTACATTGTTATTCCAGTCGCTTAAATATCTCGAGCCATTATCATCAGCTGTTTTAAAGCACAATCTTTGCTGTCTCATCTGGAAAATAGCGATTCGTAAACGTTTGGAAACACTATCATCTCTCATTGAGAAAATGGGTAAAACACCAAAAGATCGGATTCTTCGGAAAGATATCGGCCTGGGTGAAGGATCATTGGAAGAGTTTCTCAAATTTGTTACCGAACTTCTTGACCTGATCCTCGAAACAATTGGACCTTCACAATTTGACGCTATGCCCATTTTTCGCCTTGATGATTGGTGGAAAAACAGAGAATGGACCAGTCGACAGTTTCCTCTTGTTTTCATTGCGATCCAACAACAACCCGCTAATCCTCAACTGACCGTAGAACTGTTTGACCTTATTTTGGTGGTCACTTTAATCGTCAACTTTCAAATCAAACATTTCAAACCACTATCACTTTTCCCGTACGATGTGGCCAAAACTTTTTTCGATGAAATATCCAGTCCATTGCCTCCCTTTCAACCTGATTCCCTGTTAATCGCCAGTCGTGAAAAATTTTTACTCGCTGCCGCTTCTGCTGTGGCCTATTCTGTTCCCCCTGCTGCTGAACTGGTCGAAGAGGACGCTCATCTTTACTCAACCGCCAATCAATGGATAGGCAAAATTGTCGGACTTTGTAAACATTGGGACATTCAACCTGATTCAACGCGACAGCGATATGTTTGTGACCTTTATGCAAACTGTTGTGATGTTCTGGCTCAAGAGGTAAAACAATCAACTAAAATAGCTCAATTTAAACTAATTGTTGATCATTTTAATTTTCCCTCAGTATACCAGTACAATTAACGATCGTGAAGCCTTAGCTGTCGTACTTTTACCCGTTGCTGGTCTTCGGGTTCGACATTTAATCAGATCACAAAGAGGTAAATTTCTCGCATCAACTCCCCAATCAATCATGCAATGGCTTGAAGAGATTCCATCGGTAAGTTAATTGAAAATTTCCGATAGTTCGAAGTTAATTAATTGATTTTGTGTGTTTCCTTTTGTTTAATTACAGAAAAAAGAAATTAATCTTAATTTTACCGTTGAAACAACCACGAAAATGTTGGATTACATTATATCATTTTTACCATCAGGAAATTATGATAAAAGAATCGCTCGAAATTTATTAGAAATGACCAATAACTTATGATTATCATTAATTAATTATCGTTAAAAGAAAAATGTCCAAAATCAATTTACTATTTATGGGATCACAATTGTGCAAACTTATCAAAAGAGATTTATTTTTTAAACAGCCTGAAGATACTTTTGTTGGACATCAGGTAACAGCAATTAAAACAAAATCATTCAATGTTGAATTGGATGATTTAATTTAAATGTATCCTTTAGATTTAATAAGTCTAATTGATCCTGGAATTTGGTTGTGACAAATTTTAATGAACCAATGGAAAGTAAATCCAGTCAAAGTGATCCAAATGAATTAGATGGTATCGATATTATTGACATTGGTGAATTATCTTGGAGTGATCGGATTCGTCCTAAGCCCAAAATCCAAGGTAATTATCTTCGAGGTGATTTAATTGGCCAAGGCACTTTCGCCAAAGTATATGAAGTGATGGACGTGAAGACTTTACAACGGCGAGCTGTTAAAGTGTTCGATATGCATAAAATTGACCGTAAATTGAATCGAGATGAAATGGTTCATATGATAAACCAAGAAGTCACTCTTTTAGCCCGTTGTCATCACCATAATGTCATCAGAATGATTGAAGTTAAACGAAGTGTTCCCTTGCAGGGTCAACAAATGTCCACAGAAAAAGTATCTGAGCCCTCGAACGAGAAAGATGCCAAAGGAAAAAAAGACAATCCAAAAGAAAAAGAAAAAGATCAACAATCGAAACAATTGACTGAACATCGATTTAAACATCACCAGAAGAATAAAATTTGGGTCTATCTCGAATATTGTATGGCCTCCGTTGCAGAGATAATGAATCTCTCTGATCCGGTTAAATGTACCAAATTACCTCTTCATCAAGCTCGACATTATTTCATTGGATTAATCAATGGTCTGGATTATCTACACGCTCAGGGAATTTATCACAAAGACATTAAACCGGATAACATGTTAATTAACGTTTGTCACACAATTAAAATAACGGATTTAAGTGTTAGTCATGTTGTCGATCCTTTCAACCAAACGGACACTTGTTACAATACTTACGGAACGATATCTTACCAATCGCCTGAGGTTATCTCTTCATCGGATTCAGGATTTTCAGCGAGTGCCCTTGATATATGGTCATCTGGGGTGACCTTTACGTTATGATTAACGGTAAATTACCTTTCTCAACAATCAACGGTTTAATTGCAATGACTCAATCAATCCAAAAGGACGAGCCCGTGCAAACAAATCTATTGATTGATAATCCATGTTTATCAAATCTAATTGATTGTATGTTGGATAAGAATCCATCTAAAAGGATCAAATTATCCCAATTGTTAAATCATCGATGGTTACAAGCTGATTTAAAACACGATAAAGCTTACATTAAGATCCCACCTCGATATGCTTACGGTGATCAATATCGTAGTTTGACAATTACGGCTTATCTTCACGAGTTACATTATCCACTTCCAAGTCAACATAATATTGTCACGGTTTCGGAAACATCAGCTGATGAATTTAATGTCAAACGAAAGATACCAATTGTCCGGGCCAATCGATCACCATCGAAGCGACGTTCAAGTAAACGAAGACCAAGTTTAATTGTTCGACAATTAAAACCAGATCAAAATTTGGGTCGACTATTGGGATCAATGGGATTAGAATTTGGATCAAGTGATAGTAATTCATCATCGATTTTGATTTCATCTCGATCTTCATCAATTACATCGGAATCAAATTAAATAATTCAACTTGAAGGTTTAATCCTCATGGTGATTAAAGGAAACATTTGATTGGAAAACTTTCAATTGTTCAACAAATCAGACTCATTATCAAGTGACCACGAAAATTATAGTTTGACAGGTAAAAAGTCAAATTCTGAAACATGATTTATCTGAAGATAATAACACTAATTAAAGGGTTAAGAATGAGAAAAGAGGTTGTGGTTCCGGTTATAATAATACAATAATCGAATCAAATTTTCGATAAACAATCAGACTAATTGACTCAATTTTTGTGGAATAAAAAAAAAGGTTAATTAGCTAATTGTTGAGGTAAACAATCACTTAACAATTTGACAACTATGATAGAGTAAAGCCTTAAGTAAATCTTGGAAAACCACTAATTTGAAACTGAAAACAATCAAGAAACTTAATTATAAAAATTTAGATCCATTGATCGTTTAACAAAATGGATCGATAATTAACCAGAATTCATCATCAATAATTTGCTTCCTTGAGGGTCTATCAGGAAAAGTTAATTTGAGCGACGTGATGATAATCAAAGGCGCAATTAACATCTATTATGACGATTTCAGGTTAATTAGGTAAAGAGTTTAAATCTAAATGTATTTAACACCAGTTAACTTATGAACGTTATGGGTCGGCATCTCTGTTATCAATTAAAACGGTTAAGTTTAAATTGCTGATGATAATGTTAATTATGAAGCTGAAAATCAGTTATAATTAAATCAACCCCACACGATTAAATATAGAAACCGATAATCTTGTCATCGGGTAAAACTAATCACTTGTATTTATTGAACAGTTCATTTAACCTCGTTGAGATTTTACCAGTGTTAATCATCAGGCCTTTAGATTTGAATATCAAACAATTAAGTTAACAGCTAATTAAATCCATTGTTTTTTTTCCAGCAATTTCGAAATGAGTTGGTCAATGATCCAATGTCCAGCTAATCTTGATGTGAGTATTGAGTGTGCATTGTTTTCTGTAATGAGAAAAAAATGGAAAAAGGAAAAGAGTAAATAAATTTTGATTAAACAATCAAAGTGAATTATTATTGTTTCTGTTGGCGATTAACTAATATTATTTGAAATACACTTTCACTTTAAAAGGTGACTTGAGAATTACGAACCAGTTTGGATTGACCTTTATCTTTCATGACCACCATTTAGAATCAAGTTCAGACTGGACTAATTATTCTGAGGTTATTAAGGTGAAAGTTGTTTTAGCTAAGAGAGAGAGAGAGAGAGAGAGAGAGAGAGAGAGAGAGAGAGATGAAAAGAAAATTAAAAGAAGAATAAAATATTGGCCTGAGTTGGCAACAAGTTGAAGAGAAAATAAAAGAAAATGATTCGATCATCCACCATTTTGATCGTCAGGTCAGTCTGATGATGAAAATGTAATGGGAGGAGGGAGATTATGTATGAAAATCGCTTGAAGGTGAAAAGAAATTATTTTTCTAAACTTAATCCAATGGAAAAATTAAACGAATAAAAAAAACACTTACTAAGCTTTTTGATTAATCGTCATTCCAACCAAACCATCAGTAATCAGGTAAAATCTCCTAATCAGCAAGCGAAAGGCAAGAAATTCATGAGAATATCATCATTTTCATCTGTCATCTATTCAATGGGTTGATAATCAAATTAACTACAGTTAGTCACATAAAGTATTGATTGATTGACAACACAGATCCCCGATATCTGTGATCCCCGATATAGTGAAATGTTTATGGAAAAGAAGAGAATCAGAAAAAGAAACGAAATAATCAGTTTTTCAAAGATTCCAATTCATCGGGACAATCATGCTAAGTGTCATGTAAAAGGTTGGATGATTAATTACGCGATCAATTAATCAATTAAAAAGGTTAATGAAAAAAACAATTAGCTTAAAGTCACCAAAAAATCAACATTTTAGCTTAAAAAATCAGAAGTGAAGAATTGGCTTACCTGTTGATTAAACTGTCGGCAATTTGCGCTAATCAACCACCATGAGGAATAAATGTAATCCATTGGATTATTCTAGAAGAAGAAGAAGATTAATTAAATGACGAAAAGAAATTAAAATAATTGTGAAAGAAGAAAAAAGTAATTTTAAAACGAAAACGAAAAAAAATAATCAAAACAAAAGAAACCAGAGAAAAAGAAAGAGAAAAGAAAGAGTTTAACTCGATCATGTGATCAGTTTCTCGAAAGAAAAGAAAGAAAAGAAAGAGTTTAACTCGATCATGTGATCAGTTTCTCGAAAGAAAAGAAAGAAAAGTAGACAGAGAATTTAAATCCCGCTTCTTTCTTTCGGTTGTTCTCTTTCTCTTCTGATTAAAGGGACACAAAGACAGTTTCTTTTTCATTTCATTCTCTTTCTTTCCTTTCTTTTTCCCTTCTATTCTCCTCCTTTTTCTGGTTCTTCTTTCTTTTTTCTCTTTCTCTTTTTTCTCTGCTGTCTTTTTATTCTTCTCTCTCTCTCTCTCTTCTCTTCTCTTCCCTTTTCTTCATCATCATCATCCATCTCCTCTTTCAATTCATTCATTTACATGATAATTTGTCGTCAAGCTGCTGGTGTTAATTTCTCCCAAATTCTGGTAATTTATTTATCTCTCTCAAGTGAATGTGTTTTATTTCCCCTTTCAATTAATCCAAGTGATTTAAGTAAATCCTATGATTCTCATTGAACAATTAATGTTATGTGCTTCTTTTGGTGACCATTGGAGATTAATTAATCGAACAGCTAATATTTAATATCTACAGAAAGACAGAATCTATTGTTGTCTTTTTCTGTTCTCTCTCTCTCTCACTCAATTTTTTTTGCTCTCTTTGTTGTTGTTATTGTTCTCGCTCTCTCTCTCTCTCTCTTTCTCTATCTTGTATTGCCTCATTTTCTTTCTGTCTTTTTCCTTAATCTATTTCTCTATTTTATTTTCCCTTTGTTTTTGTGTGTGAGTGTATATATTTTACCTGTGTTTATCTCTTCCTCTTTTACCTCACCTTTTTATCATTTTGATATCTCACTTCATCTCTCACTCTGAGTGTGTATGTGTGCTCTTTCCCACTCACTCCTACGTTTCTATGGATTTATAGTTTCAATGTTTCTTGGTGATTTAGTGTATATTTTTTGACCTACTACCGACCAGTGTTTTCCAATGGAAAGAGCCTTAAAACTTTTTAATAGAATTAGTCACCCATATACTACCTGGATGTCACTCAGAGTTGACCCCGAAGCTCACCTGGATGCGATCTTCATTGATCTATATCATCAATGCTCAAAAGCCACCCCCAATTCAGTATTTACGTTAGAATTGATTGAAAATTTGACACTTTTACCAATCCATCAACGTCGGGAACTTGTTAACAGGATTCGTGAAGGATGTGCACCACTTTTCTTGGCCTCTCTCCATGGTAATGTTGAAATGGTTGAATATTTGATCGTCCAATGTGGTGCTGATGTTGAATTACGTGGTGTTTATGAAGGCAGGGATGATCGAACTCACCATTTTGTTACACCCTTATGGTGCGCTGCTATTTCGGGCTGGCTTGATGTGGTCAAGTGTCTAGTAAAACACGGAGCCAACATCAATTCAGTTTCTGATACTGGTTCAACTCCAGTTAGATCAGCATGTTATATGACTCACATTGAGATTGTTAAATTTTTAATTGAAAGTGGTGCTGACATATTTAGAGCCAATCATTCTGGTGGAACGTGTTTAATTAACTCTGTTCAATCCATCCAATTGTGCCGATTACTTTTAAGCTATGGAGTTGAAGTTAATGCCTATGATATACAAGGAGAAACGGCTCTTCATTATGCTATTCAAGAACGTAATTTTGGTACGGTTGTTTTACTAATCGATTATGGAGCCGATGTAACAATTAAATCAAAGCATGGTAATGATGCACTTCAACTTGCCTGTCTCAAAATGGCTACACGAATTGTCAGTTATCTATTAGCAATTCGTAATTATTCAGATGAAAGGATTGCCGAAGCTCACGAATTACTTGGTGCAACCTTTCTGGACACTCGACTTGATCTCCAAGCAACCCTTTCATGTTGGGCTAAAGCTCTGGCCATACGAAATAAAGATCCTTTCAATCCGATTGTTAAAAGAAAAGTACCTCCTAAAACTGCCTATTCTTTTGCTACGGAATTTGAGACTCTCGAAGAATTAGAAAATTTTGCCCACGATATGGATTCGATTAAAACTCAATCGTTGCTCATCTTTGAAAGGATTTTGGGCCCTTTCCACCGAGACATGATTTCAAAATTGTTCCTTCGAGCGGCAGCTTATGCAGATAGTTTACAGTATCAACGAGGTGTCGACGTTTGGAAATATGCTTTAAGCCTTAAGATTGAAAAAGATACGATACTTGATCATGAAACATGTTATTCTTTTGAAGGATTGGTTCGTCTTTTTCTCGATTTTCACAATAAAACCATTTCTGGTTATCATAAGGAGTATCCATTGTTTGAGGATGTATTTGACACACTTCGACTGCTAGTCACTGATTTACGTCCTGTCATGAGATTATTAACCATTCGACCAATTTTCAAGAAACAACAGGATAGTTTTGATTTGTGTTTAAAGGTAATTTAGTTAATTTCTCATTGTTCCATCTCCTCTGTCCTTTCCATTAATACAACATAATTACGAGAATACGTAAAGAGATTAATAGTATTTATCTCAGACTGTTAACAGGATTTACTTCAAAAAAAAACACTCAATTAACTTGTTGTTGTTATTGTTTTCCTCTTTTTATCATCCATTGTAATATCATCTTACTTGTTGTTGTTAAGATGAAGATCCATTTTCATATCTCTTTCAATTTTCCTAAAGTCTATTCATCATTTCACTTTCATCTTTCATCTTTTATTTTTCCATATTCCTTTTCTTATTAATATCTTGATAATTGTTTAGAAGAATTGATTTGATATTGATTATGTTAAGATTGAGAAAAGAAAGTGATTTGTTGATTATAATTTAATATTCCTCTTCAATTCGATCATCTTGTTGTTAGGTAACTAATTACTACGCAATAACCAGAACAAAGTGAATATCTATCTCCTTTCATCTTCCTCTTTCTTTCTTTCTTTCTTTCTTTCTCTCTCTCTTCTTTTCCATCCTCTAACTAGTGATAACTTGGCATCATCTTCAAAGATTAGTCATTATCGTTCTTGTATATTCTGTTATTACTGAATATCTTTCATCAATCTTACACATTGATAAACATAATATTCATCTTAATAGTTATACTTAATATTTTCAAAATAATCTTACTGTCAATTCGTATGGTTGATTCAAGAATTTGGTTAACCTTGTTGACTGTTGACTATTTTGATGACCTTTTACCTTTTCTTTTTTTAACATTTTGATTTAATTTTTCTTTCTTTCTTGATTATTATCTGTAGAGTATCACCCACTTGATGCATATCCTTCTTGTTATCAAAAAAGACGCTTCTCAAGACCATTTGATGCGTAAATTAATCGCTGAATTGGTCCGAATTGACCCACGAGACTCTAATGATAATGCACTTCTTCACCTTGTCATCTCCAAGAACAACAAATTGGAACAAAGTTACGTCACTGTAAATAATATATTCCCAAGTCCTGAAATAACTCGATTACTTTTGGAATGTGGTGCCAAGGTCGATACCGTGAATAATGAAGGATGTACACCTTTACACATCGCCTGTCTCAAGTTTCATTACAATATCAAAGTTCGAGACATTTTATTTGAATATGGTGCTCACATTTGTCGTGCCAATTCAAGGGGCACTCGACCTTATAAGCTACTCTTTCGCACGGATCCATCATTTAACCTTCTCCCATTTACTTCACTTCGTTGTTTAGCAGCTAGAAAAATCATCGAAAATAGAATACCTTATCAAGGTGTTTTACCATTAATTCTGGAAGATTTTCTCAGCATTCATTAACGTAATTAACGAAAATAGAAAAAAAAAGAGAGACGAAGAGAGATGAAAAACAAGAAAGAGTCAAGTCATTATCCATCAAAGAAAACATTATTTCCTCCACTCTCTCACTTTCTCCCTCTCTCTATATTTCTTCACCATTATCATTACTCTCATCATCATATTATCATCATAAACAACACTGTCACTCACATCATCATCATCATCATCTCTGTCATCATCACCAATGTGACTGCAAGAAAAAAAAGTTTTACCAAAAAAAAAGCTAACCAACAATACACACACCAAGATCTTCACAAACCTAAACACTTTTAATATTGAGATATTATTAATTTATGTTCCAATTTTGATGTTCTTGTCATCATCTCTTTTCAATTATCATCATCATCATCGTCGTCGTCGTCACATCATCCATACTATTGTTATTATTATCTAATTGTTTTAAGCTAACTGACCATTTCCATTAACAGGGTTTATAATGTATCGTCTTGACTTTTATCATTTAGTTAATTGCCATCAATTAACAAGAGAATGTATTTTTAATGCATAATTTAATATGTGTGTATGTAAATGAAGGTTTGTCTTTAAAATTCAACCTTATAAACAATCAAATATCAATGGAAAGACAAAAAAGAAAGGTAATTTAATTAATGATAAAATTATTTCTTAATCAAGTAAATCATGACGATTAAAGATCACAATGATGATGACGATGCTGCCATTGATTGATGGATGATTACAACAACACTCAATACATTTGATCAACTTTTGTTTTCTTGCAAAAACCAATTAACAAACCTGAACCTCTGATTGAATCAAATTAAATCAACAATTGAAAAAAAGAAAATTAAAAAATTATTTCATTTATTTCATTTATTTAGTGTAAAAATTAAAATCTCATTTCGATTATCATTTATTTTCATTCATTTTCATCGTTTTAACAATTAACTATATTTTTTTATTTAATCAGTTGACAAAACAATCGAGTATAAATACTTGAGGACATTGATCTTGATACGACTGGTTGATTGTCGTTAATTGTAATTTACAGTAAATGTTATTCACTTTCAATTAGCAAACAATTTAACACTTAATCATTTACTTTCTCTCTCTCTCCTCTTGATTAACAATCTGATTGTTTAACCAAACGAAGCTTCAATTTGATTTATTGTAGTAACGACGATCCTTTAACTGTTTCAGTTGAATGAATTTCAGTTTCGTTTTCATTTCTCAATCGTAACAATTAAAATTTGTACCATGAAAATAATCAACTAATTGATAGTTAACCAAATTAGTTGATTGTAATTTTTTTCCTCATTCAAAATTAAACTTGATAACTCGGAAGTAATTTAGTAAAGGTCATATTAAAGTCATCGATTCAAGTGAGTTATCATATAATAATAGATACTAGATTATTATTATATAATATTACACATATAATAATTTGTTAATCAAATCAATAGATTGTTCAACTTATTTTCAAATTGTAACAATCAACGAGGAAACAATCAAATAATATTACATGTTATCAGAATTAATTATCTCTTTGTGATTCATTTTAATGATTGTCACTTTGTTTTCATTTTTCAAGTGATAAGTACATTTAAAAGATGACAAATTGATTGTGATACAATTAAAAATGATTTGAGATAAATATAAAAGAGATTGAAAACAATCAGTTAATTGTTGAAACGTCATTGAAACAAATCATGTTACCTTTTTTCACTTTTTTTTAATTATTATCATCAGAAAATAAAAATAATAAAAAATAAAAAAGTGTAAGCATGGATTAGGTTTGAACGGAATTCATTTTAAATTTTGATTGATTTGAGCAACGAATCAAATGATCAGTTGGAGTAATTAAGCAATAGGATAAGAAGCGCAAAAATTGATTTAATTAACTTGATCATAATTTCATGATAAACTGAATATTAACTTACTTGTTAGTCAATATACTAACATGGAGAAATCTATTAATAATATCAACCTCAAGGTTGATTCAATAACTTATAGTAATTTAATATTGTAATAATTACTCAATAATTTCTTAAAATAAAAGTTGACCATATCGACAATTAACCATATTCAATTTATAATATTTCAATACATTAGATAAATGATGATTAGATAATTAATTAGATCTAATTGTTGATATATACTTTTGATTGAGATATTAAATCATCGAATATGTATAATCAATACTAGATAAATTATCTTTCGGTGATATAACTAAAGTCATAGGATTCATTGTTCAGATAAATTGAATTGAAACATGTTAAAAACTCCAACAATTGACAATTAGATTGAATCAATATTTTAGTAAATTGTGGAGAGAATCGCTTCTCGTGCCTTGATTACTACCAATGGCTCTCTTTCTAAATAAATCACTCTCTCTACCTCTAGTTTCTTATTTTACACCCAAGCATATTGGTTGAACGATGTTCATTCTTGAAATGGAGTAATATTAATAATTAAGAAAACATATTAATAAGTTTCAATATGTTAATCAGAAGACTCGATTGCGAGATTTCAACGAAAGTTGTTTTATTAGTAGCTGTAATTTTTGCCTACGAACCAATTTCGCGTGATAATCATAAAGGTAGATAAAGTTTCGAGTAACCGTAGATTGAAACTCCTTAAAAGTCATTTGATGATTTTCTAGAAAAATAATTCGACACATTGAATAAGAAGATACTGCAAGAACAATCGGAATCAGCTCAATATATTTAAATCTATCGAAGAAAAATTCGAGCATAAAGCTGATTTTTTTTGGCTTACGATTCAAGCTGCACTTAAATGTGTTTGTACAAATTGGGTTAGGCTAGGTCTTCACTATTAAGGGTCATTATAGTCAAAAGAAGGCCTGGAGGGCCGGAGACAGTTAAACTGAACCTCAAGACGAAAAAAATTAGCTGGCGTTGAGCTGACAAACACTCATATCGTCTTACCTAATTTGAATAATAAAACTACATACTATTAGATGATAGTCCAAGAGGTCAGTTTCAGCGGTGAGATATTCCAATTCTTCAAGCTCATGATCGTTTAGAAGAGGTTGAATATTTTTATATTGAAACAATTGCTTCATCCGTTTTCTTTCAATTTTTCAATCTAAGCAACGACTGAAACGTCCCATGTAAACCTTGTTATTCCCACTAGAGACTATTATGTGAAACCACCAAGAACAATTGAGATCAGATTCATCAGATTCTAGAGAAAGTCAAAGAACTATTATTTATCGAAAGATATGTCTACTTGTGTATGCTTTTATTTTATTAATTGTAAAAATTCAATTATCATTATATCAATAGTATCAATGAAATTTTAGTATTCAGATTGGATAAAATAAGAAATGTTATTATTTATATTCAAAGAAAAATTCTCAAATTTTATTTTAAAAAGATTAGAGTTTTGGTAAACCAGCGACAACATCATCTTCGATGCCACATTCGTTATTTCCTCGTCGAATCTTGAAGTAACCTAAAAGGAAAATTCGTTAGTTTGGTTTATAATAATAATAATGATCTCTTTTTTTCTATCTGAACGAACCTTTGTCACCCCAATAATCATTCCATGAATTGGCTACCAACCAATAATCTGTACCATTTTCGGTACCCCAACCGATGATCTTGATTGCATGGCCACCAAGGGAATCATAAGTAGTTCGTTGGTAAACACCCGATTTATAATTAGGAAAATCAGCATAAACAGTGAAATCAGCTGAAACTGGACCATTGGTCATTATCTCCTTCATGATTTGCTTCTGATCGTATCCGACTGCATAAGGTTCTTGTCCGTAATACTTATCTTGTTCCCAAGTTTTCCCATACCCGGCAACACACTCCTTCTTACACTCGGGAGCGGGAAGATAAGTATCAGGACAAGTAGGTAAAGGTCCTTTAATATGATGCTCACAAGGTGGTAAAGTGTAAGGTGAACATCCACCACCCTGATATAATCCTCCAGATACAATACCCTCTTCTTGGTAAATACCATAGACACTCTCAGGCCAACCTCCTTGACAACCATCACCATAACAAGTGACCATTTGTTGGGTTGATAAAAGGACATCAATTGACCCATGGATACAAAGACGATCGCTCATGGCTTCGATAGCTGAGAAAACCCAACATGATCCACAGTTACCTTGATCTCGAATGGTAGTTAATGAAGTACAATTGGGCCATTTTGTTCGTGAATCGAAACTTTCTGGTAAATCATTCGTATTACGATGGTGAATATATCTCAATGGTCTTTTAGATGCTTTGTTGGATCTCGAGGGGACACCGAGAAGACGCTTGACCGCATTTAATGAAACTCCATCGAAATTTTGACCAGCCTAAATCGGAACAACAATAACATTAAACAATAGAAATCATTCAAATCTATGATATTAACAATTTACCTTCCATGTAGTTCCAAGAGAGTTAATCTGATTGATCATCTCGTCGGATAATGGATGAAGACCATTGTCAACATATCGACGAGAGCCATAAACAAAACAGATCAAAGTGAAAAAAATTATTATCGTTTTCATGTTGACTCAATTCAGTCAGAAACTTAACTTGTCAAATAGTTAGTAATTGTTGGCGTTTTATACTGGTTTCAACTCAATTCAATGAATCTTGTGACTTTAATTATGTCACCAAAAAGACTATCTATTATTAAATTATATCAATACCATTCGACGATTCGACTTCGATATCAACTGTTTATCTTTACAATGACATCTACTAATTGTTATTAATTTCATAATCACAAGTTGATTTGATCAAGTTTAGGGCTTCATTTAAAAGATTAAAACAAATTATCAACCATTAGGATTAATTGATTAAAGATAACAGTTGATGTCATTATGATAATTATTTTCTATTGATTGATTCAAGTCAGCACTGGATTATTATTAATACTTGATAGCTTATAATACTTTCGATGTATAATATAATCCAATAGAAAGATAAATTTTAAATGGTGATTTTCTGATAATCATAATCCAATTTATCAATAATTAACTAGCAGGTAGCAAGTTAATCTAAGTTGTGTTGATCAACTTGAAGGTGTTTTTATTGGTTATGGTTATTTGTTTTGGAAAACAGTTAGTTAACTGACTGTCAATATTTTCACAGATTATTATGTATTAATTACTGTAAAATCTTTGTTACAATTATAATGATTGTTTCAAAACAAACTTGTATCGATCTCTTCATTATAATGATCAGTTTACCTTGAACTCAGAAAAAATTATGAGAAAACAATTGGATTCATTTGCAATGGATTTTATTGATTTCAACTCATTTCATTGAGTATAAAGAGATACATTTTCGTTTAATTAGACAATTGCTTGGAATTGATTGTTGGCGAAATGTTTTTTGCAAGATTTTTCCAAAGTTTGTAAGAAAATTTTGAGAGTAGATTCGTTGAATTTGTTTTCCTCGACGAGATTGACAAAAGTGTACATATATTTGAGGACATCAGAGTTGACACCAATGTTAAGGCAACTTGAATGGAATTGTTTGACTACCTTATCGTAAGTTTTGTGGTCAACTAAAGGTTTTCGTGTATTGTAAACTCGGTCAACATTTGGACAGAAACCAGCTGAGCAAAGGCTTTGAATTACCTTTGAAAGGGATTTTTTAAGGTATTTTCGGGCAGCGATAACTTTAGATAATTGTTTCTTATGAATAGCGACTTGACTAGCATCATTAGAACTGATGATCTTTGAACGAAGTGAATGAAGAGGAATATCTCGACTGTTAACTTGACCTGAAGCTGGAACGGGTTCATTTGCAATGTTGTTTGTTGATGCAGATTCACCTTGGAATTCACCAACATCTAAACTGCTCAAAGATTTTTGTCCATATTCTTGTGGGTGAGAAGATGGAGTATTTTTGACGACATTCTTGAATTGTTGTTCGAGAGTTTCAGTCTTGAGATCTTGTTTGTCAGAATCTTGTAACCATGCGACTGAATATTCATCCCCAAGGCAAGTACCACTAAGAGGACCCTCAACATCACAATAGACACCATAACTTGACTCTTCGGGATTTGAGGCAGTTGTTACGAAGATGTTGAGATTATCAGCAAGTATTTTATCGAAGATCGAACCAGCTTCACAAGCTTCAACGTAGAAAGTAAGTTTACCGTAGAGTTGATTTTTATTCATGTAAACCAAGGCATCATTAAGATCTTGCGATGACAAGTATTCTGAGGGCATACCAAGAATACCAGCACCACCATGATCAGAGAAATAGATGAAGACGTGATCATTTGGTCCAGTGGTCAGAACTTTTTTACCTTTGGCAGCCAATTCCTTGTCTCCCTTAAGAGCTCCCAAAAAGTTAGCGACATTAACATCTTTTCCAGTGTAGTCTTTTGCAACACCTTCGTAAACATCAGGTCCATTTGGAATATTATAAATCTTTCCTGGGAATGGATTCTCTCTATTATTTGCAATATCATCGTACATGAAGACGATAATGTTTTCAGCGGGGACACCATGGTTTCTCAAGACATGATAAGCGTGGCAAATGTCGGCTTGATGACGATAGTTGTAGAACTCATTGGAACCAGCAATCAGAACTGCTTGAATGTTGTAAGTTCCATTGACGGCGTTCAATTGGTCAACCAAAGGACTGGAAGATCCTAAGGTGAAAAGTATGGCAAACAAGGTGAAAAAGGATAACATGATTTCTCGTGTAAACTAATAATACGAATGATCCTCTTGTGTTTGCTATTGTCTCTTTTATATATGTTTCAAATAATCTAAGTTACATAATCCACTAGGATTAGGCAAGAGATTAACTTTGTTTTTATCGATAATTCCCAATAAAAACAATACCATTATTATGACAACATAATTTTATCAAAGTAATGGGAACGTGTTATATTGTAAATCATATGTTTTTCATTATCGATAATTACTCAGCGATTAACCAGTAAGGATAAAACAATCATTATAATTCACTGATTCATGATAGTTAATTATCTCAATCACCACGTCAATACATGCATGGTAGGTGTTATGAGAATTCACCAGGAAACCTATCGAGATAATGCTTTGTTTGAGGTCAGGTCATTCTCGAACTAGAATTCGACACATACTATTAGTTCAGTGTATTTCTAATTAGCCATTGATCTGAAAATTTTGGGCACTTTTTGTATGTTTATATTATTATTATCCTCAACTCGATTAGTAAGAAAAACTTTATCAACTTTAAGATATTAATAAGTTTGAATATGTAAGTGCATTGATCTTGTTGTGTTATTAATGGTTGGGTTGATATCGTTGATTGTCATCTAATTGCTGTTTACAGTTGATGTTAATAACTTTCATCTAATTGTAAACTGTTAATTAACTTAGACAGTTCGTTCAGTGATTAAAGCCAAAATTAATTGGCAACTGTTGAGATCGATGTCAACATATTCATTTGAATCAATATTTCCAAGAAATTAAGAATCAAAATCAGTTTGATTGTGGCAATGATATTTATTTCACTAATCACCAATAAAACATTATCAAACTTTCATGTTAATTTGTTACAATTAACAACGTGATCAGTTGATTAACTGTTCTGATTAGCGAAATAGTTTATCAATGATTGTTTTCAATCTAATTTGTTTTTAACTAAAAGTGAATCAATTGTTTTGGATCAATTGATTAATTGTTCTGTTATTATTATTAATATTTAACAATTAATTGCAAAAGGAAGCAAACTCTTGGACAATCAGAGTTAATTGTTTCTTGTCTCATTGTCTAATTGTTTACATTATTGTTTCCTTATTCAATGAAAGTTAATCATAATTGAAGGTTGATAATAAACAACAATTAACTGTTATTCCCACTGATTTAAAATGATTACCATATATATTGTTAATTGAAAAGTTGATTGTTGTTTATAATTTGATAATTTTTGGCAGCACAATTAAGGTAAATAACATTGGATTATCATCAATATGATTTATAAATGACATTCATCATGGTTAAATTGTTGCCAAGAAAATTAAGTTGAAAAAACTTAATTATCATAATAAATTGTAGTCAAGTTCATTGTCATCAATGATATTTTTTCATTCACTTTTAATTGTTACTTTCCTGGTTTAAAAAAAACGTTAATTGTTGAGCTAATCAACATCGTTAACTTAATTGAATCAACTGTTGAAACTAGTAAACAATTATTATCAAGTGTCCAATACTCTTGAAGATTAACAATCAAACTGATTCTGTAACAATTAATTGATTGTTAATTGTAAATATAATTTAATTGTCTCAAGAGTTTATTGTACATTTTGAATTGCTTTTTTCCCCTTAACAATTAATTAATTGATAGCTTGTGTGGATTAATAAAGTAATTAATACGCTGACGTTAATTGTTGTTGTATTGTATGATAAATATAAGTGTTAAAATTGATAACAATTTATCAATCGTATTAATAATAATTAAATTTAATCAGTGATGAGAAATTCTAATTGTTACCGAGGTTGATGATCGTTTTGTGATGTTTTAATTTAAGTTAATTGAAAAACTTTTCCTACAATTAAAAAAAAACTTCAACGTACTTGAAAATATTGAGTAAGAATCTTACAATTAACAAATTTCTAGAAAGAAACATTATCGAGGCTAATTGCTGATTAACTTTTCTTTTAATTGTCCAAGGTTAATCAGTTATATTCGTAACTGTAATCATTTGATTACTATTTTAGAAACTATTAAAACATATCATGTTATTTATAGTAAATTAATTTACAAGTAAATTTAAAATTAGAAATTTATATTTAGCAATTAAACTAAATTAACAAATCATTATGATTATTATTAATACAATTTGGTTAACAACAAGAGGCTTACACAGTTGCATTGATGTTTAATTATCAATATTAATCTGCTCAGCTGATTAGATGGATTAACTGATTAGCTTAATTGTTATTTACTTTTCCATTTCGATTAATATTTGAATTCGATAAAGCTGATGATTAGTTAATTATACAACTATTTATCCTTATGCTTTTAAGGATGTTTGCTAATTGTTTGTTAAATTTAAATTGTTTATTTTAACCAATTTCACTTTTACGTAAACTTTTAATCAACTAAATCATCATTCAAAATTCATATACACATACACACACTTGATAACCTTGATTGTTGAAAGTTAAACAAGTAATCAACAAACAGAAACATTAAATTGTTACTAATCTTTTAGTCTCTTTTTCCCCTTTTAATTAATCAACCAACTAACTGGCTAATCAACTCAATTTGTGAAGGTTATTTAGTTTAATTTAGTTGATTACTTGACAACTAATATGATGGATTAACTTGATTGTATTAATCTATTGAGTATGAAAGAAACAAATTAAATAAGATTTTTTTTTATCAATAATCTGATTCTAATAATGAAGACAAATGAATTAAAAAAAAAGTTGATAAGTTGATTTGATTCAAGGTTTTTAACTTAACAATTAACTGTCAGTGATTAATTTTGATTTGAATGGTTTTGGCAATAATCTAATCAAAAATTTAATTGAAGTGTTTAGAGAGTTAATCAAACATTTAGTGACTTCAAAATAACATTCAATTAATCAATGGAGCGAGATAGTAATCAAAGTTAATTGTTAACTATTTTTGATTCAGTTGAAAATTTAATTACTTTTCAAATTACAATAAAAAACCAAATCACGTAACTAGCAGCGCCATCTTGTAGACACATAGGTAGCTAGAGTTGCCTTTTACCGGTAAATTTGATTTCTGATTAAATTGTTTTCAATGAGACAAAATTGAATTAAATGTTGAAGATATAATCAATTTAATGCAGAAATTATCTGAGTGAATTCATATTTCCGTTTCCGTGATTAAAAACAGAATGAGAAAATTTTACATTTCCGTTAATTGGGTTGAAATTAATATCGGAAAACTTTTTTCGTTGGTTATGATTTACATTTCCGTTTGAATGTGAAAGCTAATTTTCAGGTAAATAATTAATTCAATAATGTTTTACATCATTGTAAATTGAGATTAAATTGTTCAATAAATAGTTAATAATAACATGGAGTCATTTGATTCAATTGGAAATAAAAGTTTCTTAACTTTATTTCGTGATGAAGGTTATCCAACAAGTTACTCAAATAGATTAACTTTTCCAAACATCGACTATTTTTTAACTAAGATTTTGATTGTATATTTTTGTCTTTGGTTAATTTTTCTAATCATTTCACCAGGTTATCCAGGAAGAGAGGTAATTAGTTGATCATTTACACCACCAACGATTAAATAAATATGTACTTTTCCTATTCTAGAGATGGTTTTTCATATGCCGAATTACCGTTTTTCTTACCGTTCCATTAATAATTATCGGTGAGTAACTTTTACCTGATTTTCAAAAGGAATTACTATCAATTCTTGTTATATTATCTATCATGTCTGTAGTATGTTATCATTCACCTTATTGGGAATCTGATTCAATCAATACCCTGGTTAGGTTGAGGTTTTCATCACCAATGAAAATCGTTGCCGAACGTTGCCGTTGTTGGTCTACATATTGGCCTTTTCGGATTCAATATAACCATGAAAGACTTGGATGTATCCAAATCAACAGATAAAATCCCTCCGGACATGATTAATTTTGATTATAATGAACAATTTCAATGGAATTGGGTTTCATCATCAGCTGATAAACCAAAACTTTCAGAAGGTAAATAAGTGGAACTATTAAATGGTTTTGATTTGGATTGACAATATTTTCTTATTCTAATCTTAGAGACTGGTCATCTCAAGTATCAATATCGATTATCAGCTTCCAATGGACTTCCGATTCCATTTCTTTGGGTACTTGATTATTTCACAATAGATGGAGAAGAGTTTAGGTTTACACACTTCTATCAACAGGCTTCATGGTATTGTCACACTTTCTTATGGTCAGTTGGTCAATCAAATTGATTTGAGAAAGAGATTGTTGTGAAAAGTTTTTTAATCAATCCATCAATAATAAATAGGTTTTCTCTTGGCTGTTGGTTATTATCAAGTTGCCTTTTCTGTATCGTTATTGAATATGGTTCCTTAATGATGATGCTTACTGGATTATCTCTAATTACAACCAATATGATTTGGGCTTTACATAATAATCCAGTTCCATTGGAGATTCCATTTCAATCACCAAGTGGTGGTAGAGTGCAGTTCTTACACCCTGACTATTCATGGGCTTATTGGATAAATCTAACCAACGGTAATTATTATTATTAATATTTGAAAATCATTAAATCTCATTACACTGCTAAACTAAAAAAGTATATATTATTTTTAATATATGAAAAAATTGAATTTCGATAATCATTTGATGTTTATCGATAAATAATATTGCAATTATCTGTATATAATGGACTTTTTTTCCACCAACAATTAGGATTATTTTGCTTGCTATTGGGGAGTTTTGTTTACATTATTGACATTAAATATCCTGATCTAACGGCTCAATTTTTCGGCATCGATATAATTCAAAACTATCAAGATTACTTTCGAGGTAGGGAAAGTTGATCTGAAATCGAATAATATTATTCAATTGTATGATGATTTTCATATTTTCAATTCCAGAAATAGATGAAGATAAAAAAAGACTACAAAGTGATGGGTCAAGCGTATCGACGGACAGCACATTGAAAATGAAGGTATGTCTTTATTTTAAAATTGTAATATAATTAAAAGTGATCAAGGATAATTCGATTAATTGTTTTTCTTTAATTGCAACTAGAATGGTGATTCGAATTATGTTGCCTTACGGAAAAAGGTCACCTCTGATAGACTTTCTCGGCTAAATCGATTGACTCTTCGTGATGGAGGAAATAAGAGTATCGATCGACCCGTTGCAGTTGGTAATCAATCGAAAAGTATCCAAGAGATCACCGAGCCTCATTATGTTGTACCCAAAACGATTACTGTACCTATTCAACCTCGAGTAGTCGGTGTGATACCTGGTGGATCTCGAGGGGTAGAAAAATTTTCATTATCAACTCAATAGTTGATATCAATACTGTTTCAAGTCTAAATAAATTTTATTTGGAGAGTTATTATCGGCAAGAATATTTAATTTGGGAAAACACCGAAATCCTTTATACAAAAATCTCAAATCAATTCTATGTCGCCAATGTTCAAATGAGGTTTTAGTCTATCGTATGTACTGAATTAGATGGAAAAGAGATAACAGTTTTGAGATAACAGCCAACATGCGATAAAATTGAAAATCTAATTACCAGAAATTCCACCTGAACAAATAATGTGTTGGTGAGAAAGATATATTTAAAATACAATATAAATAAAACTTTCAACTTACCCACAAATTTTTCCACATTTTCTGAAAAAATTATCGTATTATTTTGCTAAATGGGTGTACAGGGTTTTCGAGAGTATTTTCTAATGAAAAAGGTTGGCTTAGGACCTTTGATGTTAACGGCATTGTTCCGATCATTATTGGAGAATTACAAATAAATTTTATAAACGAGAAACTTAAACATTTAATTATCGTAATTATTTACATAATATCTCAGAATGTTGCAGGTAAAAATGAAAAACTATCTCACCTTGGATTATGATAAGATGCAAGAACTGAATTATGATTCAGTTCTCCTCACAACTTAATTGTATCCTAGAAATGTCGGCTTTAATTGGCATTACTTTATTAGTTGACTATGGAAAATTGTAATTAAATTTTTTGGTTATTCAGCTGAAATTTGATATAAATTAAATTTAACTCTAACTAGTTTATACTTTAACTGTAGAAAGAAAGGTTAAACTTAATTCAATCACGTAAAAGTAGGTAAATTTCCCCTTAAACTTTAGAGTACTGGTGTACTGAAACAACATTTATCCGTCAGAAAACTCGCGACATTCTAATGTGAAGATGAATAAGCAAAAAATAAACTTTGTATCTTGTTGTGAATTTTACAGAGAGAATTAAGTTTACATTTGTTTGATCAGACACCACTTAAAATCATATATAAACGCAAGTTTAGAGGTACAACTCATCAGACAAGTTCATCTTATTCCTTCAACAAGTTTGTAAAAAAGCAAAAATGAATAATCTTTTTATTTTTTTCACCTTAACCGTCGTTGCACTCACTGCAATAGACCAAGCTAATGCGATGAAATTGCCATCACCAATGAACATGGAATTAAAAATTGAAAACCCTATGAAATCAATTTTCTCTCTCAAACCAAAAACTACATCACCATCAGAGTCAACATCCAAAGGTAAATCTTTTGCTGAAACTGAAACAAACACTGATACAGACCATGGAACCACTAGTGAGGATTCAAGTGACGAAGCCGATGGAGGTTATGAGGACGATGAAGACACAGACTCATCAGACTCGAAAGCATCTGTTGCTGATTCACCAGCTTCTGGTTCTTCGTCATCATCAAATTCAGGATCTTCTGGCTCAGGATCATCAACTGGTTCAACTAACAACTCTGGTTCATCATCATCATCAGGAACTGGCTCAGAATCATCATCTGCTGCTGGTGCTTCATCAGGTTCTGCTGCTGCTTCAGGTGCCTCATCTGGCTCAGGTTCATCATCTGGCTCAGGATCATCAACTGGTTCAACTAACAACTCTGGTTCATCATCATCATCAGGAACTGGCTCAGGATCATCATCTGCTGCTGCTGCTTCAGGTGCCTCATCTGGCTCAGGTTCATCATCTGGCTCAGGATCATCAACTGGTTCAACTAACAACTCTGGTTCATCATCATCATCAGGAACTGGCTCAGGATCATCATCTGCTGCTGGTGCTTCATCAGGTTCTGCTGCTGCTTCAGGTGCCTCATCTGGCTCAGGTTCATCATCTGGCTCAGGATCATCAACTGGTTCAACTAACAACTCTGGTTCATCATCATCATCAGGAACTGGCTCAGGATCATCATCTGCTGCTGGTGCTTCATCAGGTTCTGCTGCTGCTTCAGGTGCCTCATCTGGCTCAGGTTCATCATCTGGCTCAGGATCATCAACTGGTTCAACTAACAACTCTGGTTCATCATCATCATCAGGAACTGGCTCAGGATCATCATCTGCTGCTGGTGCTTCATCAGGTTCTGCTGCTGCTTCAGGTGCCTCATCTGGCTCAGGTTCATCATCTGGCTCAGGATCATCAACTGGTTCAACTAACAACTCTGGTTCATCATCATCATCAGGAACTGGCTCAGGATCATCATCTGCTGCTGGTGCTTCATCAGGTTCTGCTGCTTCTTCAGGTGCCTCATCTGGCTCAGGTTCATCATCTGGCTCAGGATCATCAACTGGTTCAACTAACAACTCTGGTTCATCATCATCATCAGGAACTGGCTCAGGATCATCATCTGCTGGTGCTTCATCAGGTTCTGCTGCTGCTTCAGGTGCCTCATCTGGCTCAGGTTCATCATCTGGCCAGGATCATCAACTGGTTCAACTAACAACTCTGGTTCATCATCATCATCAAGAACTGGTTCAGGATCATCATCTGCTGCTGGTGCTTCATCAGGTTCTGCTGCTGCTTCAGGTGCCTCATCTGGCTCAGGTTCATCATCTGGCTCAGGATCATCAACTGGTTCAACTAACAACTCTGGTTCATCATCATCATCAGGAACTGGCTCAGGATCATCATCTGCTGCTGGTGCTTCATCAGGTTCTGCTGCTGCTTCAGGTGCCTCATCTGGCTCAGGTTCATCATCTGGCTCAGGATCATCAACTGGTTCAACTAACAACTCTGGTTCATCATCATCATCAGGAACTGGCTCAGGATCATCATCTGCTGCTGGTGCTTCATCAGGTTCTGCTGCTGCTTCAGGTTCATCATCTGGCTCAGGTTCATCATCTGGCTCAGGATCATCAACTGGTTCAACTAACAACTCTGGTTCATCATCATCATCAGGAACTGGCTCAGGATCATCATCTGCTGCTGCTGCTTCAGGTGCCTCATCTGGCTCAGGTTCATCATCTGGCTCAGGATCATCAACTGGTTCAACTAACAACTCTGGTTCATCATCATCACCAGGAACTGGCTCAGGATCATCATCTGCTGCTGGTGCTTCATCAGGTTCTGCTGCTGCTTCAGGTGCCTCATCTGGCTCAGGTTCATCATCTGGCTCAGGATCATCAACTGGTTCAACTAACAACTCTGGTTCATCATCATCAGGAACTGGCTCAGGATCATCATCTGCTGCTGGTGCTTCATCAGGTTCTGCTGCTGCTTCAGGTGCCTCATCTGGCTCAGGTTCATCATCTGGCTCAGGATCATCAACTGGCTCAACTAACAACTCTGGTTCATCATCATCATCAGGAACTGGCTCAGGATCATCATCTGCTGCTGGTGCTTCATCAGGTTCTGCTGCTGCTTCAGGTGCCTCATCTGGCTCAGGTTCATCATCTGGCTCAGGATCATCAACTGGTTCAACTAACAACTCTGGTTCATCATCATCAGGAACTGGCTCAGGATCATCATCTGCTGCTGGTGCTTCATCAGGTTCTGCTGCTGCTTCAGGTGCCTCATCTGGCTCAGGTTCATCATCTGGCTCAGGATCATCAACTGGTTCAACTAACAACTCTGGTTCATCATCATCATCAGGAACTGGCTCAGGATCATCATCTGCTGCTGGTGCTTCATCAGGTTCTGCTGCTCAGGTGCCTCATCTGGCCCAGGTTCATCATCTGGCCAGGTTCATCAACTGGAACTAACAACTCTGGTTCATCATCATCAGGAACTGGCTCAGATCATCATCTGCTGCTGCTGCTCAGGTGCCTCATCTGGCTCAGGTTCATCATCTGGCCCAGGATCATCAACTGGCTCAACTAACAACTCTGGTTCATCATCATCATCAGGAACTGGCTCAGGATCATCATCTGCTGCTGGTGCTTCATCAGGTTCTTCTGCTGCTTCGGTGCCCATCTGGCTCAGGTTCATCATCTGGCTCAGGATCATCAACTGGTTCAACTAACAACTCTGGTCATCATCATCAGGAACTGGCTCAGGATCATCATCTGCTGCTGCTTCATCAGGTCTCTGCTGCTTCAGGTGCCTCATCATGGCTCAGGTTCATCATCTGGCTCAGGATCATCAACTGGTTCAACTAACAACTCTGGTTCATCATCATCATCAGGAACTGGCTCAGGATCATCATCTGCTGGTGCTTCATCAGGTTCTGCTGCTGCTTCAGGTGCCTCATCTGGCTCAGGTTCATCATCTGGCCCAGGATCATCAACTGGTTCAACTAACAACTCTGGTTCATCATCATCACCAGGAACTGGCTCAGGATCATCATCTGCTGGTGCTTCATCAGTTCTTCTGCTGCTTCAGGTGCCTCATCTGGCTCAGGATCATCAACTGGTTCAACTAACAACTCTGTTCATCATCATCATCAGGTACTGGCTCAGGATCATCATCTGCTGCTGGTGCTTCATCAGGTTCTGCTGCCCAGGTGCCTCATCTGCCTCAGGTTCATCATCTGCCCAGGATCATCAACTGGTTCAACTAACAACCTGGTTCATCATCACCAGGAACTGGCTCAGGATCATCATCTGCTGCTCATCAGGTTCTACTGCTGCCTCAGGTGCCTCATCTGGCCCAGGATCATCAACTGTTCAACTAACAACTGGTTCATCATCATCATCAGGAACTGGCTCAGGATCATCATCCTGCTGGTGCTTCATCAGGTTCTGCTGCTGCTTCAGGTGCCTCATCTGGCCCAGGTTCATCATCTGGCTCAGGATCATCAACTGGTTCAACTAACAACTCTGGTTCATCATCATCAGGAACTGGCTCAGGATCATCATCTGCTGGTGCTTCATCAGGTTCTGCTGCTGCTTCAGGTGCCTCATCTGGCTCAGGTTCATCATCTGGCTCAGGATCAAACTGGTTCAACTAACAACTCTGGTTCATCATCATCAGGAACTGGCTCAGGATCATCATCTGCTGCTGGTGCTTCATCAGGTTCTGCTGCTGCTTCAGGTGCCTCATCTGGCTCAGGTTCATCATCTGGCCAGGTTCATCAACTGGTTCAACTAACAACTCTGGTTCATCATCATCATCAGAACTGGCTCAGGATCATCTGCTGCTGGTGCTTCATCAGGTTCTGCTGCTGCTTCAGGTGCCTCATCTGGCTCAGGTTCATCATCTGGCTCAGGATCATCAACTGGTTCAACTAACAACTCTGGTTCATCATCATCATCAGGAACTGGCTCAGGATCATCATCTGCTGCTGCTGCTTCAGGTGCCTCATCTGGCTCAGGTTCATCATCTGGCTCAGGATCATCAACTGGCTCAACTAACAACTCTGGTTCATCATCATCATCAGGAACTGGCTCAGGATCATCTGCTGCTGGTGCTTCATCAGGCTCTGCTGCTGCTTCAGGTGCCTCATCTGGCTCAGGTTCATCATCTGGCCCAGGATCATCAACTGGCTCAACTAACAACTCTGGTTCATCATCATCAGGAACTGGCTCAGGATCATCATCTGCTGCTGGTGCTTCATCAGTTCTGCTGCTGCTTCAGGTGCCTCATCTGGCTCAGGTTCATCATCTGGCTCAGGATCATCAACTGGTTCAACTAACAACTCTGGTTCATCATCATCATCAGGAACTGGCTCAGGATCATCATCTGCTGCTGGTGCTTCATCAGGTTCTGCTGCTGCTTCAGGTGCCTCATCTGGCCCAGGTTCATCATCTGGCCTCAGGATCATCAACTGGTTCAACTAACAACCTGGTTCATCATCATCATCAGAACTGGCTCAGGATCATCATCTGCTGCTGCTGCTTCAGGTGCCTCATCTGGCTCAGGTTCATCATCTGGCTCAGGATCATCAACTGGCTCAACTAACAACTCTGGTTCATCATCATCATCAGGAACTGGCTCAGGATCATCATCTGCTGCTGGTGCTTCATCAGGTTCTGCTGCTGCTTCAGGTGCCTCATCTGGCTCAGGTTCATCATCTGGCTCAGGATCATCAACTGGCTCAACTAACAACTCTGGTTCATCATCATCATCAGGAACTGGCTCAGGATCATCATCTGCTGGTGCTTCATCAGGTTCTGCTGCTGCTTCAGGTGCCTCATCTGGCTCAGGTTCATCATCATCTGCCCAGGATCATCAACTGGTTCAACTAACAACTCTGGTTCATCATCATCATCAGGAACTGGCTCAGGATCATCATCTGCTGGTGCTTCATCAGGTTCTGCTGCTGCTTCAGGTGCCTCATCTGGCTCAGGTTCATCATCTGGCTCAGGATCATCAACTGGTTCAACTAACAACTCTGGTTCATCATCATCATCAGGAACTGGCTCAGGATCATCATCTGCTGCTGGTGCTTCATCAGGTTCTGCTGCTGCTTCAGGTGCCTCATCTGGCTCAGGTTCATCATCTGGCTCAGGATCATCAACTGGTTCAACTAACAACTCTGGTTCATCATCATCACCAGGAACTGGCTCAGGATCATCATCTGCTGCTGGTGCTTCATCAGGTTCTACTGCTGCTTCAGGTGCCTCATCTGGCTCAGGATCATCAACTGGTTCAACTAACAACTCTGGTTCATCATCATCATCAGGTACTGGCTCAGGATCATCATCTGCTGCTGGTGCTTCATCAGGTTCTGCTGCTGCTTCAGGTGCCTCATCTGGCTCAGGTTCATCATCTGGCTCAGGATCATCAACTGGTTCAACTAACAACTCTGGTTCATCATCATCATCAGGAACTGGCTCAGGATCATCATCTGCTGCTGGTGCTTCATCAGGTTCTGCTGCTGCTTCAGGTGCCTCATCTGGCTCAGGTTCATCATCTGGCTCAGGATCATCAACTGGTTCAACTAACAACTCTGGTTCATCATCTTCTGTTTTCTATAATGAAGCTGGTCAAAAATGTGTTTGTTTTGCATAAGATGATGATATATGAACATGATTTGATATAGAGAATAATAATAAATTAACCTAATTATCTGTATATTTGATGTCTGGTTTTATCGCGCGGCTTATAGAAAAGTTTCGAAGCTGTAGCATAGCGTTTTTTAGATATTCATGATATTCAGGGTTTATATAGACACGCATAAGATCTGTAGATCTATTCAGTCAAAATTGGTTACTTATGATATAAAAAATCAAAAATGAAATAGGAATTTTGATTTGCTTATAATATAGTCACATCTCTTATACTTTATTTCGACCAGTGGAAATTGTTTGTGAGTTAAACACTAACTTGTACCCTAGAAGACTCCCTGATAAGTATTTAAGCCAATCTCAACAAAGAAACTTTACACTTGTTGAGACAGAGGACAAGATTACATTTAACCCTCAAGGGAAACAACCATTTTTAACCTTTTTCTCATTTCTTAACATTTACATTACATTTTCGTAACAATATTAATAATTATTTGAAAGTTTTTTGAATTTTCGTATCGAAAGAGTAAAATCTATCCTTCGCATACTCAACAAGGTCTGCAAAATGAAACACTTGAGCATAATTTCATATCTTTCAAAATAGCTTGTGCTATGTTGAATTGTTTTGGTAGTCATCTTGAAAGCAATCAGTGTTGATTTGGATTTCCTTTCGAGATTAAGCAGAGATTCACTACAGATAATCCAATGATTCTTTATCAATCTTAAGCCAAAAGGAAGTAACATCCGGAAAATCGTTGAGGGATATTCAAACTCTAACGGTTTCAAACATCGCAATATTAAAGTGAATTACCGAGTTTTCTCTGTCTCTCATTTTAATCTGCGACAGTAGAAAAAATTATTATAGGTTTCGTAAAAAACGCGAGTTACTAAAGATTAACTCGTATTTGCTTTCTACTGATATCGACAGAAGAGACGAGAGTGACCTTTTCAAACTATGTGACAGAAATAACGAAAAAAATACAGTTATGGTAAAGCAAACGCTATTTATACAAAAGGTCTTTATATGTGCAGAAAAAATGGGTAAAAATAATCTTTTGCTTTCAAGAAAAATTGTCTATAGACGATTTATCAATCTATAGATTTATACATGTAACTGTATGTCTCTTCATTCTAAGGCTTCCATTCAGGTGGACCAACTCTCTGATTTTTCTACATTGTTCTCAAAGTCAAACTTAATAAACATACAACTTTATATTGTAATCAAGTCGATTGTTCTCTAAATAAAGATCAGTTAGATAAACCAGTTGACAAAATGGAATTCGCCCAGATTCGAACTTGGTCAGCGAATTACTATACTCTTCATCAAGCAAAAACCTTTTTCTGGAGAAAACGGGTTATATCTTGGTGGATCGAATCCATGCCCGGCAATATCAATCAGATTGTCTGTGGAGATAAAGATGATAATTTTTACATAAGAAAAATCTCAAGATTGCAGGAAGAGAGGTAATTAGTTGATCATTTACACCACCAACGATTAAATAAATATGTACTTTTCCTATTCTAGAGATGGTTTTTCATATGCCGAATTACCGTTTTTCTTACCGTTCCATTAATAATTATCGGTGAGTAACTTTTACCTGATTTTCAAAAGGAATTACTATCAATTCTTGTTATATTATCTATCATGTCTGTAGTATGTTATCATTCACCTTATTGGGAATCTGATTCAATCAATACCCTGGTTAGGTTGAGGTTTTCATCACCAATGAAAATCGTTGCCGAAGTTGGTCTACATATTGGCCTTTTCGGATTCAATATAACCATGAAAGACTTGGATGTATCCAAATCAACAGATAAAATCCCTCCGGACATGATTAATTTTGATTATAATGAACAATTTCAATGGAATTGGGTTTCATCATCAGCTGATAAACCAAAACTTTCAGAAGGTAAATAAGTGGAACTATTAAATGGTTTTGATTTGGATTGACAATATTTTCTTATTCTAATCTTAGAGACTGGTCATCTCAAGTATCAATATCGATTATCAGCTTCCAATGGACTTCCGATTCCATTTCTTTGGGTACTTGATTATTTCACAATAGATGGAGAAGAGTTTAGGTTTACACACTTCTATCAACAGGCTTCATGGTATTGTCACACTTTCTTATGGTCAGTTGGTCAATCAAATTGATTTGAGAAAGAGATTGTGAAAAGTTTTTAATCAATCCATCAATAATAAATAGGTTTTCTCTTGGCTGTTGGTTATTATCAAGTTGCCTTTTCTGTATCGTTATTGAATATGGTTCCTTAATGATGATGCTTACTGGATTATCTCTAATTACAACCAATATGATTTGGGCTTTACATAATAATCCAGTTCCATTGGAGATTCCATTTCAATCACCAAGTGGTGGTAGAGTGCAGTTCTTACACACTGACTATTCATGGGCTTATTGGATAAATCTAACCAACGGTAATTATTATTATTAATATTTGAAAATCATTAAATCTCATTACACTGCTAAACTAAAAAAGTATATATTATTTTTAATATATGAAAAAATTGAATTTCGATAATTATTTGATGTTTATCGATAAATAATATTGCAATTATCTGTATATAATGGACTTTTTTTCCACCAACAATTAGGATTATTTTGCTTGCTATTGGGGAGTTTTGTTTACATTATTGACATTAAATATCCTGATCTAACGGCTCAATTTTTCGGCATCGATATAATTCAAAACTATCAAGATTACTTTCGAGGTAGGGAAAGTTGATCTGAAATCGAATAATATTATTCAATTGTATGATGATTTTCATATTTTCAATTCCAGAAATAGATGAAGATAAAAAAAGACTACAAAGTGATGGGTCAAGCGTATCGACGGACAGCACATTGAAAATGAAGGTATGTCTTTATTTTAAAATTGTAATATAATTAAAAGTGATCAAGGATAATTCGATTAATTGTTTTTCTTTAATTGCAACTAGAATGGTGATTCGAATTATGTTGCCTTACGGAAAAAGGTCACCTCTGATAGACTTTCTCGGCTAAATCGATTGACTCTTCGTGATGGAGGAAATAAGAGTATCGATCGACCCGTTGCAGTTGGTAATCAATCGAAAAGTATCCAAGAGATCACCGAGCCTCATTATGTTGTACCCAAAACGATTACTGTACCTATTCAACCTCGAGTAGTCGGTGTGATACCTGGTGGATCTCGAGGGGTAGAAAAATTTTCATTATCAACTCAATAGTTGATATCAATACTTGTTTCAAGTCTAAATAAATTTTATTTGGAGAGTTATTATCGGCAAGAATATTTAATTTGGGAAACACTGAAACCTTTATACAAAATCTCAAATCAATTCTATGTCGCCAATGTTCAAATGAGGTTTTAGTCTATCGTGTACTGAATTAGATGGAAAAGAGATAACAGTTTGAGATAACAGCCAACATGCGATAAAATTGAAAATCTAATTACCAGAAATTCCACCTGAACAAATAATGTTGGTGAGAAAGATATATTTAAAATACAACAATATAAAACTTTCAACTTACCCACAAATTTTCCACATTTTCTGAAAAAATTATCGTATTATTTTGCTAAATGGGTGTACAGGGTTTTCGAGAGTATTTTCTAATGAAAAAGGTTGGCTTAGGACCTTTGATGTTAACGGCATTGTTCCGATCATTATTGGAGAATTACAAATAAATTTTATAAACGAGAAACTTAAACATTTAATTATCGTAATTATTTACATAATATCTCAGAATGTTGCAGGTAAAAATGAAAAACTATCTCACCTTGGATTATGATAAGATGCAAGAACTGAATTATGATTCAGTTCTCCTCACAACTTAATTGTATCCTAGAAATGTCGGCTTTAATTGGCATTACTTTATTAGTTGACTATGGAAAATTGTAATTAAATTTTTTGGTTATTCAGCTGAAATTTGATATAAATTAAATTTAACTCTAACTAGTTTATACTTTAACTGTAGAAAGAAAGGTTAAACTTAATTCAATCACGTAAAAGTAGGTAAATTTCAACTTTAGAGTACTGGTGTACTGAAACAACATTATCCGTCAGAAAACTCGCGACATTCTAATGTGAAGATGAATAAGCAAAAATAAACTTTGTATCTTGTTGTGAATTTTACAGAGAGAATTAAGTTTACATTTGTTTGATCAGACACCACTTAAAATCATATATAAACGCAAGTTTAGAGGTACAACTCATCAGACAAGTTCATCTTATTCCTTCAACAAGTTTGTAAAAAAGCAAAAATGAATAATCTTTTTATTTTTTTCACCTTAACCGTCGTTGCACTCACTGCAATAGACCAAGCTAATGCGATGAAATTGCCATCACCAATGAACATGGAATTAAAAATTGAAAACCCTATGAAATCAATTTTCTCTCTCAAACCAAAAACTACATCACCATCAGAGTCAACATCCAAAGGTAAATCTTTTGCTGAAACTGAAACAAACACTGATACAGACCATGGAACCACTAGTGAGGATTCAAGTGACGAAGCCGATGGAGGTTATGAGGACGATGAAGACACAGACTCATCAGACTCGAAAGCATCTGTTGCTGATTCACCAGCTTCTGGTTCTTCGTCATCATCAAATTCAGGATCTTCTGGCTCAGGATCATCAACTGGTTCAACTAACAACTCTGGTTCATCATCATCATCAGGAATCAGCTCTGGATCATCATCTGCTTCTAGGTGCCACTCATCTGCTCAGGTTCATCATCTGGCCCAGGATCATCAACTGGTTCAACTAACAACTCTGGTTCATCATCATCATCAGGAACTGGCTCAGGATCATCATCTGCTGCTGGTGCTTCATCAGGTTCTGCTGCTGCTTCAGGTGCCTCATCTGGCTCAGGTTCATCATCTGGCTCAGGTTCATCAACTGGTTCAACTAACAACTCTGGTTCATCATCATCAGGAACTGGCTCAGGATCATCATCTGCTGGTGCTTCATCAGGTTCTGCTGCTGCTTCGTGCCTCATCTGGCTCAGGTTCATCATCAGCTCTAGGTTCATCATCTGGCTCAGGATCATCAACTGGTTCAACTAACAACTCTGGTTCATCATCATCATCAGGAACTGGCTCAGGATCATCATCTGCTGGGTGTCATCAGGTTCTGCTGCTGCTTCAGGTGCCTCATCTGGCTCAGGTTCATCATCTGGCTCAGGATCATCAACTGGTTCAACTAACAACCTGGTTCATCATCATCAGGAACTGGCTCAGGATCATCATCTGCTGCTGGTGCTTCATCAGGTTCTGCTGCTGCTGTGCCTCATCTGGCTCCAGGTTCATCATCTGGCCCAGGATCATCAACTGTCCAACTAACAACCTGGTTCATCATCATCATCAGGAACTGGCTCAGGATCATCATCCGCTGGTGCTTCATCAGGCTCTGCTGCCCAGGTGCCCATCTGGCTCAGGTTCATCATCTGTCCAGGATCATCAACTGGTTCAACTAACAACTCTGGTTCATCATCATCAGGAACTGGCCAGGATCATCATCTGCTGCTGGTGCTTCATCAGGTTCTGCTGCTGCTTCAGGTGCCTCATCTGGCCTCAGGTTCATCATCTGGCTCAGGATCATCAACTGGTTCAACTAACAACTCTGGTTCATCATCATCATCAGGAACTGGCTCAGGATCATCATCTGCTCCTAGTGCTTCATCAGGTTCTGCTGCTGCTTCAGGTGCCTCATCTGGCTCAGGTTCATCATCTGGCTCAGGATCATCAACTGGTTCAACTAACAACTCTGGTTCATCATCATCATCAGGAACTGGCTCAGGATCATCATCTGCTGCTAGTGCTTCATCAGGTTCTGCTGCTGCTTTAGGTGCCTCATCTGGCTCAGGTTCATCATCTGGCTCAGGATCATCAACTGTTCAACTAACAACTCTGGTCATCATCATCATCAGAACTGGCTCAGGATCATCATCTGCTGGTGCTTCATCACATTCTTGCTGCTTCAAATGCCTCATCTGGCTCAGGATCATCAACTGGTTCAATCTAACAACTCTGGTTCATCATCATCATCAGGAACTGCTCAGGATCATCATCTGCTGCTGGTGCTTCATCAGGTTCTGCTGCTGCTTCAGTGCCCCATCTGGCCCAGGTTCATCATCCTGCCCAGGTTCATCAACTGGTTCAACTAACAACTCTGGTTCATCATCATCATCAGGAACTGGCTCAGGATCATCATCTGCCTGGTGCTCATCAGGTTCTGCTGCTGCTTCAGGTGCCTCATCTGGCTCAGGTTCATCATCTGGCTCAGGATCATCAACTGGTTCAACTAACAACTCTGGTTCATCATCATCATCAGGAACTGGCTCAGGATCATCATCTGCTGCTGGTGCTTCATCACATTCTGCTGCTGCTTCAAATGCCTCATCTGGCTCAGGATCATCAACTGGTTCAACTAACAACTCTGGTTCATCATCATCAGGAACTGGCTCCAGGATCATCATCTGCTGCTGGTGCTTCATCAGGTTCTGCTGCTGCTTCAGGTGCCTCATCTGGCCCAGGTTCATCATCTGGCTCAGGTTCATCAACTGTTCAACTAACAACTCTGGTTCATCATCATCATCAGAACTGGCTCAGGATCATCATCTGCTGCTGGTGCTTCATCAGGTTCTGCTGCTGTTTCAGTGCCTCATCTGCTCAGGTTCATCATCTGGCTCAGGATCATCAACTGGTTCAACTAACAACTCTGGTTCATCATCATCATCAGGAACTGCTCAGGATCATCATCTGCTGCTGGTGCTTCATCAGGTTCTGCTGCCTTCAGGTGCCTCATCTGGCCCAGGTTCATCATCTGGCTCAGGATCATCAACTGGTTCTAACTAACAACTTGGTTCTATCATCATCAGGAACTGGCTCAGGATCATCATCTGCTGCTGGTGCTTCATCAGGTTCTGCTGCTGCTTCAGGTGCCTCATCTGGCTCAGGTTCATCATCTGGCTCAGGATCATCAACTGGTTCAACTAACAACTCTGGTTCATCATCATCATCAGGAACTGGCTCAGGATCATCATCTGCTGCTGGTGCTTCATCACATTCTGCTGCTGCTTCAAATGCCTCATCTGGCTCAGGATCATCAACTGGTTCAACTAACAACTCTGGTTCATCATCATCATCAGGAACTGGCTCAGGATCATCATCTGCTGCTGGTGCTTCATCAGGTTCTGCTGCTGCTTCAGGTGCCTCATCTGGCTCAGGTTCATCATCTGGCTCAGGTTCATCAACTGGTTCAACTAACAACTCTGGTTCATCATCATCATCAGGAACTGGCTCAGGATCATCATCTGCTGCTGGTGCTTCATCAGGTTCTGCTGCTGCTTCAGGTGCCTCATCTGGCTCAGGATCATCAACTGGTTCAACTAACAACTCTGGTTCATCATCATCATCAGGAACTGGCTCAGGATCATCATCTGCTGCTGCTGCTTCATCAAGTTCTGCTGCTGCTTCAGGTGCCTCATCTGGCTCAGGTTCATCATCTGGCTCAGGATCATCAACTGGTTCCTTCTAAACTCTGGTTCATCATCATCATCAGGAACTGGCTCAGGATCATCATCTGCTGCTGGTGCTTCATCAGTTCTGCTGCTTCAGGTGCCTCATCTGGCTCAGGTTCATCATCTGGCTCAGGATCATCAACTGGTTCAACTAACAACTCTGGTTCATCATCATCATCATCAGGAACTGGCTCAGGATCATCATCTGCTGCTGGTGCTTCATCATTCTGCTGCTTCAAATGCCTCATCTGTCAGGATCATCAACTGCTGCTGGTGCTTCATCACATTCTGCTGCTGCTTCAGGTGCCTCATCTGGCTCAGGTTCATCATCTGGCTCAGGATCATCAACTGGTTCAACTAACTCTGGTTCATCATCATCATCAGGAACTGGCTCAGGATCATCATCTGCTGCTGATGCTTCATCAGGTTCTGCTGCTGCTTCAGGTTCATCATCTGGCTCAGGTTCATCATCTGGCTCAGGATCATCAACTGGTTCAACTAACAACTCTGGTTCATCATCATCATCAGGAACTGGCTCAGGATCATCATC